ATCCATTGCTCGAATGGGGAACTGGCGGGTAGCATAACGACTTTGCCCTTGTTCCTGGCCGAAGGGACCGCGCTCCGCCCTCTTAGAGAGGTAGGAGTGGTTTTCGTCCCTGGCTGGGAAGTCTGGGCCTCGGCTGTAGGGAACGAGAGGCGATTGTGCACGCTCGGTTCCTTGCCGCCGAGTCGGTCGAGAACACTTCGGCGAACAGTCTCAGGTTGTTCTTGGCGAGCAGATTCTGGCCAAGAAGCTGAGCTGCTGCTCTTATGCATTTCCTGTCGGGAGGTCGAGGATCCTCTGAAGAATTGAGGGTTCTTTTTCCTCTCTTTTTCAGTTTTCCAGGTATCCTCTTCCCACTCTTCCAGTTCCCGGAAGGAAGGAAGTTTCCCACCATCATGGTCTAGCTTCCTCCGCTGATGCCGGGTATGCGGAGGAGTTCGATCGCGAGGTGGCGGCATATTTTGTGCCCTCATTGCCTCCATGAGCACTGCCAGCTCTCTTGCCACCTCCTCCGAGCTGGGCCCCGCCAAAGGGGTCCTCGGCTGAGTATGGGAATGAGAGCGGACGGTCGATGGTTGGCTTTGGGGCACTGAATGTGTCCTATGATCGGACTGACCCCTGCTAGACCGAGAGTGACTCGGCCTATGATGAGAGTTATGAATTACGGGAGAAAGGGAATCCTCCCTGTATGATCCTCCCCCCGAGCTGGCACCCTTGGGAGAGTTCCGGTCCGGTGAGGGTGATGGTGTAGGGGTTTTAGGCTTTTCGCCTGCTCCTTGACGGAGGCTTTTGCTCTTGCGGTTCTTAGCCATTGCTACTAAGATAATTGCAAGATGATCTTGGTTAGAAACTTGGCTTAAAGATTTTTGAAAGTCTTCCCCACAGACAGCGCCAAATTGTTTCGGGTGAAAACAATGGGACCTTGTCGAAGGTCCGATGAAGAGGAGAAGACTGGATTCGGTCCAAGTGATTTTGGGCCGAAGGTTTCCTGCACAGTAAACACACGTAAACTAGCCTCGGGGGTGTTGCCGAGGAAGGCCCCTCCGATGCTAAAGTCAGTACAGTGTGTAGAAAGAGAATGCTATGCAAGAGAATTAGTTGCTTGAGGCTTTTTTTGAATGAATGTACAAATGTGATATTGATAGCTTTTATACCTTTGCATATATGGAGAAGTTGGGCCTTAGCCCAATTGACTTGCCTTGAGGACTGATCTTTGACTTTAGCACAATTGGAGAGTTGAACCTTGACCTTGGGCTTTAAATTGGATCATTTAATGACTAGGCCCAATTAGACTAAATTGGACCCAAACACCTTCTATAAAATTTACTTCAGTAATTATTATTTACTTCACTAGTAGTACTCCACTACTTTGTAAAAGATAAGGTGGTTAAAAGACATAAAATAAAAATTCTCATTTTTTTCCTAGTGTTCTTTAATTCAACTTTGTCAATAAATCAATGCTTGGATTTATAAATTGAGCATAAATTGATATTTACTACTAGAGCTGTCAATTCGGGTAAACGGATCAGGTATGGGTCGGGTAAGAGTGGGTCGGGTCAACTCGGGTCAGGTCAATTCGGATTAATTCCATAACCTATGTGGGTCGGGTTTGGTTTGGGTCATGCTTGAGTCGAGTCATACTTCTTATCGAGTTTGGGTCGGGTTTAGGTCGGGTTAATAATAGGTCGGGCTACATTTGGGTCAGGTGAACAATAGGTCGGGTTTAATTCGGATTTTCACGGGTTAAAACAGGTTAGGGTAATTCTCGGGTTCGAGTCGGGTTCGGTTCAAGTCAATAATTTGCGGGTTAGAATCAGGTCAGATCATTCTCAGGTTTGAGTCGGGTTCGGTTCAAGTCAATAATTTGCGGATTATAATCAGGTCGGGTCATTCTCGGGTTCAAGTCGGGTTCGGTTCAAGTCAATAATTTGCGGGTTATAATCAGGTTGGGTCATTTCCAAGTAAGGTCATTCTCGGATTCAAGTCGGGTTATGTTCAAGTCAATAATTTGCAGGTTACAATCAGGTCACGTCATTTCCAAGTCAAGTCATATTCGGGTTCAACTAACTATAAATAGATAATTATCATTTTTATCAAGCTAATTATTTCCTTTGACTATAATATATATGACAATATACTAGAGAACTATAGTCTATAATTTAGGAAGATAATTATCTCCTTTGACCATACAACAAAAATATACTATATTTAACTCTTAAATTTGAGGATGATGCTCCTTTCTTTTGCTGGCCTGGACCGATTTGGTCTCCCTGGACAAAATATTTTGATGAACAATAATAAGGTGGTCTAAATTGCATTAAAGGTGATTTGAAATCGGGTCAGGAATAATTTGGGTTGAATTTAGGTCGAGTCAATAACAAGTCGTGTTAATTTCGAGCAGGGTTATTAACAGATCGGGTTGAATTTTTGGGTCGGGTAAGTAATAGGTTTGGTAAAATTGGGGCGGGTAAATAACAAGTCGGGTTGAATCTAGGTCAGATCAATAACAAGTCGGGTTGATTTCAGGTCGGGTTTGTAACAGGTTGGGTTAAATTCAGGTCAGGTTAGGAACGGATCGGGCTGAATTCATGTCAGGTTAGAAACAAGTCGGGTTAAATTCAGGTTTTGACTGGTTAAAACGGGTCAAGGTTGATTTTTGTTCAAGTCGGGCTCGGTGCAAGTTAATTAAATTGGTCGTTGTAAACCGGTAAATCGGTGCAAATTGTATTGGTAGTTTAACCGCAAATTATATGGTTCCACACACCCAATTAGACTCCCGTAGGGTATTAAGGAGCATGGTAAACATTTCGGCAATTTGTATTTCAGGGCGAAAAAAAAAATTCCAAAATTGAAGGCTAAATATCCACAATTTTTGAGAAATTTTGAAGGATTCGGGACCCGGTGTCAAAAAGGCTTGAAATTATAGGGGATACATCTCTAGGTCATATGATGCCGTTTAGAGCCATTTATGATCATTATATGTTGTCATAAATATTCGTGGTAGGCTTGATTTAATGAAATCGGTGCAAGTTGTAAATCGGTAAATTGACCGTTTAAAGGTAAATTTGATAGTTTAACTCACCCAATTGGACTCCCGGAGGGTATTAGCCTATTAGGGACCATGGTAATAATTTTGGAAATTTATATTTCCGGGCAAAAAAGTCAAAAATTCCAAAATGGAAGGCTTATATCCACGCTTTTTGAGAAATTTTTGAGGTTTCGGGGCACGGTGTCGAAAAGTATTGAGATTTTACGGAATACATCTCGGGGTCATATAATTGACGTTTGGAACCATATACGATCAATATATGTTGTCATAAATGTTTGTGGTAGGTTTGATTTAATAAAATCGGTGCAAGTTATAAACCGGTAAATAAGTCGTTTAAAGGCAAATTGGATGGTTCCACCCACCCAATTGGACTCCCGAAGAGTATTAGGGAGCATGATAAAGATTTCGGCAATTATTATTTTCGGGCGAAAAAAGTCTAAAAATTTCAAAAATAAAGACTAATATCCACGCGTTTTGAGAAATTTTGGAAGTTTCGGGGCCCGGTATCGAAAAGCCTTGAGATTATAGGGAATACATATTAGGGTCATATAATGTCATTTGAAACCATATATGATCATTATTTGTTATCATAAATGTTCGTGATAGGCTTGAGTTAATGAAATCGGTGCAAGTTGTATACCAGTAAATTGGCCGTTTAAAGGCAAATTGGATAGTTCCATCCACCCAATTGGAATCCCATAGGTATTAGGGACCATGTTAAACAATTCGGCAATTTTTATTTTCGGGCGAAAAAAGTCAAAAAATTCCAAAATTGAAGGCTAATATCTACACTTTTTGAGAAATTTCGAATGTTTCGGGGCCCGCTGTCGAAAAGTATTGAGATTTTAGGGGATACATCTTGGAGTCATATAATGTCGTTTGGAACCATATATGATCATTATATGTTGTCATAAATGTTCATGGTAGGCTTGAGTTAATGAAATCGGTCCAATTGTAAACCGGTAAATTGGTCGTTTAGAGACAAATTGGATGGTTCCACCCACTCAATTGGACTCTCGGAGGGTAGTAAGGACCATAGTAAACTTTTCGTATATTTTTATTTCCTGGCGAAAAAAAGTCAAAAAATTCCAAAATTAAAGCGTTATATCCACGCTTTTTGAGAAATTTTGGAGGTTTCGGGGCCCGTTGACGAAAAGAATCAAGATATTATGGGATACATCTCGGGGTCATATAATGTCGTTTGGAACCATATATAATCATTATATGTTGTCATAAATGTTAGTGGTAGGCTTGAATTAATGAACTCAGTACAAGTTGTAAATCGGTAAATTGGCCGTTTAAAGGCAAATTGGTTGGTTCCACCTACCAATTTGGAATCCTGGAGGGTATTAGGGACCATGGTAAATATTTCGGCAATATTTATTTACCGGCAAAAAAAGTCAAAAAATTCAAAAATTGAAGGCTAATATCCACGTTTTTATAGAAATTTTGGAGTATTCGGGGCCCAGTGTCTAAACGTCACTAGTACAAAAACCTTCATTTGCGTCGCTCATTTAGGCTGTATTTGCGTCACTTCTATGAGCGACGCAACTGCTCGCGACGCAAATGACTCAAAAGTCATTTGCGTCGCTCATTGGAGCGAAGCAAATAAGAGTTATTTGCGTCACTCGTTTGTTAAATGAGCGACGCAAATGACTTTTTTTGTAACTTATATTTGTTATTTGCGTCACTTCTTTAATAAACGAGTGACGAAAATGACTCTTTTTAATAACATATATTCTTATATTTGCGTCACTTCTTTAATAAAGGAGTGACGCAAATGACTAGTTTGAGGAAGAGAAAATGAGCTATTTGTGTCGCTTCTTCCTTAAAGAGTGATTGACAATTTTTTTAATCCACACATTAAAGTAACATTATAATTTTCCAACTATATCCCTTCATATAATACAATATTGCAAGACAAAAAAATAAAATCATAATAAATATAATAAGATCAAATAAAAATTTCGACATAATTTCCTTTGTATTTTAGCCTACCCATTAATTTGGGAATGACGGCGCCTTGTATTAGCAACCTGTCAAATAAGTTTACAAAAAAACAATATTGACATCTTCATCATTAATAAGTATAACACAAGCACCAGACCAACCCAAATGTTGGTAAACCAAATGCGTTCATTTCAAGCCTAAGAACTATAACAAAATAATCCAATAAATAATATGGAATTTGAAGCCAGCATAATTCAATTTAGGGACAAAATCTTCATTTTCCCTAACACGAACAAGTCCATAATGGAAGTCCACTTCCTTTTTCTCTTGCAAACAGTTTAAAGTCACCAGTTTCTGATATCAAATACAATGAATCAATAAACAATCAGAGTTGAGGATGAAGCATCAAAGCAATAAAATAATATTCTACAATTATTTAAACAACTACACTACCTTTCCAAGAAAATACTAATAGTTGTTCCTCTAATTAAGTATACTAGCAGAGGAATAGAGGATTGATGCCAATTATTTGCAAAACCTCTTAATACAAAAACCAAGAATGGCATTTATACGATTCGATCAGGATTTTCTTAATAAAAAAACCAAGAGGGCCACCAAAATTAAGGCATTTTCTTTGGAGTGCCGTGAAAGGGAATATGGCAGTGAAAGATCAACTAAGGTATCGTCACATTACAACTGACGCTACATGCCAATTATGTGGTGTGAATGAGACAATTTATCACACACATTTGAGTGTGTTGTTTCAAAGGAAATTTGGCATTACAGTGAGTACAAAACCAACCTGGAAGATGCGCCAAATGATAATTTTGCAGAGCTATGGTTATGGCTTTGTAAGAAATATGATGCAGAAGTAGTTTGTTCTATGGCCGCACTAATGTGGGCTGCTTGGAGAGGGAGGAATTTAATCCGAATAGTGTGCTACATGCCTTCAAGTTGGAATTTTCCATGTTAATTGTCAAGTATTATGTATTCATACTTATGTTCAAATGTCGAGAATACAACACCAATACTAAAGGTAAAGTAAAGAGTGTACAAACAACAATTTTTTTTAGACATGAATACGTGATAGTAAGGGAGTAAAGGACTACAATCTTATATCAGATCAGTTTGGTGTCAGACGGAAGACCTGCTAAACAAGCACGACTATATCTAAGTGTGATGACAAGTAGCAACTAACCTGAATTGCACCATGAGACACGATATCTTCATAGAGGAGGTTAGAGTGACGAACAAGATTACCCAGTGCACCTGCAGCATTTAATTTTGTGATATCCTCCTCAGGTAGCAGCAGCAGATTTGTCAGTTGAGAGAATGAGCTCCTAAGTTCTTCGTATAATGAATCCTTATGGAAGGCTGCATTTCCTATCTGCGAGATGAGATGTGAGAAAGAGAAACAAGGATATACAGGAATGATAATATTAGAAAATTCAGTGAAACTAAAGAAAATAATTGTACATCAAAATAGATTGAAGTATATTTTCCAACAAAATAAAAACAGTCCAAGTGCAATATGCATGATCATGGATATTGAAGTGACAAATCTTACATCAAAACAGGCAAATTTCTTAGTGTTCTTGTCTGGGTCAGTGCATCGGTCTATGAGAAGATTTATGATACCATGCCTTGCCTATACATCAAGCAATAAGAAAACGTCGGCATATAATTTATTTGTGGAAAAATTAAAGGGGAATAGAATGAAAATATGATCATGAAACTTGATTACATTAAAAAGAAAGGGTCAATAAACATAAGATTTGATCCCTATATTGGAGAGTTTGTTGAGAATAGTAAACCTTGCCACCGGTTGTATTTCAAGGTGAGAATCCGAATAGTGTGCTACTGGCTGCGGAGTTTGCAAGGCTAGTTCATGATTACAATGGCTATGCTAAAAAGGTTCTGCTGCCCCCCTCTGTTCTGAGACAAAATGATGCTGCTACAAGCTGGAAGAAACCGTGCCTTGGGTGTGTTAAAGTAAACTCGGATGCTCATATTCTTGAGGGTTGTAAGGCAGGGCTGGGGGTGGCCGTTTATTTTTAACAAAACGGCCTGGTAAAATTATTTCAATATAAACACTATATCATAGTTTATCTATTCACGGCTAAGTATATCATGGAACATTTTTGGGCTAAAAATATGGGAAAGAGCTTCTCTTAGTAGTAGCAGGGGAAAAATCAACCAGAATGAGCAGCAAAACATAAAAAAAAAAAAAAAAATACAGTCAGATTAAAAAACAAAATGAGCAACAAAACATAAAAAAAAAAAAATACAGTCAGATTGGAGAATAATCAATAAAATAGTAAAATCAAAATTTAATGAAACCCAAAAATCCAAAAATTCATCTGCAATTCTAAAATCCGTGCAAAAAATACAAAAAAATAGTAAAATTAAACTAATTTCATCCAAAATTGAACCCTAAATTCAATCTAATTGAAAACACTAGAAAACAGTAAGAACACAGAACAAATTTGAACTTAGTTGAAATCGACTACAAAAATTCACCAAAACAGAACCAAAAATCCTTAGAATCGAGTATAAATCCATAATTTCTTTGATTTGATTGCATTTGATGAACCCTAAATTCTAATATGAACCCCAAAAAGCTGTATTTAGAAACCTGCTTGTAATTCTAAATTTCGTGCAAAAATAGCAACATAATAGAAGATTAAACTTAGTTAATTTACAATTGAACTCAAAATATCTATGTAGTTTGAAGTGTTGAACAAAAACAAAAGAGATGAAGAGGTCTTACCTTGCATAAAATCGATTTTGCAACTTCAGCAACAATAGATCCAAAATTCCATGTTATTGAGTACGAACCCTAACTTTAAGAGAATCGTAACAAATTGCTATTAAATTGAACGAAAATCAAACCTCTTTGCTTAGATCTGTGTGCAACATCTATTGCAATCGTAGCACCAAAAAATGAACCCTAAATTCGAAATTCAAACTTCAATTTTCTCACAATTATGTTCGGTTTTGGGTATATATTTGGTCGAAAATAGGGGATTTTTGGCTCGGATTTGCTCGTATATAAGGGATTTTGCCTCACATTTGCAGGGATTTTTTATTAGTGGTTGAATTTGTAGGTTATGGGATTTTCGATTTTGCCTCACATTTGCTGGGATTTTCGATTAGTGTTTATTCGCTAATGTTTTGGGGGTTTAACAGCAGCAAAGCAACAATGGGGAATTCTGTGGTTTTACTGATCAATTTTTTGGGGTTTTGATGTTGAATTTCAGGGAATTTTGGGGTTGAATTTTCTGGGGTTTGGAGTTTTGATGTTCGAACGGCGGAAGGCAACTAGAGTACATATAAACCATAATAGTCATTTGCGTCACTCGCTAAAGAAAGAAATGACGCAATTGACTCACAAAGTTATGTATAATACTGTTATTTGCGTCACTCCTATTTAAAGAAGCGACGCAAATACAAGTAAGTTGAAATATGTCAGACTTTTGCTTCGCTTTATAACAAATGTCCGACGCAAATTAGTTAAAATGAAGTCAAGATATCTCATTTGCGTCGTTTGTTTATATGAGTGACGCAAATAAGGCGACGCAAATAAGCATTTTTCTACTAGTGCGTCTTGAAATCATAGGGAATACATCTAGTGGTCATATAATGTCGTTTGGACCTAGATATGATCATTATTTGTTGTCAATAATGTTCGTGGTAGGCTTGGATTAATGAAATCGGTGCAAGTTGTAAATCGGTAAATTGGCCGTTTAAAGGCAAATTGGTTAGTTCCACCTACCCAATTAAAATCCTAGAGGGTATTAGGGACCATGGTAAACATTTCGGCAATTTTTATTTCTGGGCGAGAAAAAGTCAAAAAAATCAAAAATTGAAGGCTAATATCCACGCTTTTTGAGAAATTTTGGAGTATTCGGAGCCCAGTGTCTAAACGTCTTGAAATTATAGGGAATTGATGTATCTATTTTATATATTATTTTACCCCCGTCCCTTGGTCATAATTAGTAGTGTTTTTGGCTCTTTAGAGCCACTTTTATTACTAATTGGTGTTTTCTAGTGTTTTCGTAGATTTGGTTGACTTTTGCAGGGATTTATGCTTTTGGAGTATTTTTCCGAGTTATTTTGGAGCAATCACGAGCATTGGAGAAACACGACCAGATTTTATAGCCCAGGGCCGGTTACAGCCATCGAACCGGTGATTAAGGGCTCGTTATAGGTGATACCGGGGCATTTGGACCGAGTATTCAAGACCGGAAGAGAAAACCCAGATTGGCCTGAAGTATTGGAGCACAATCGTAGTCCGAATAGTGGCCTAAGAGAGCCGCCCGGCCAAAGAGGTTGGCGCCCGGAGGCGCGCCTGGCCGGGCGGGAGAAGCTAAGGTTGGCGCAAAGTGACGCGCCCGGCCGGGCGCGAGATTAGTATTAGGAAGTAAAAAGGCGCGCCCGATCGGGCGGTGCCTCGCCCGATCGGGCGCGTATATTTATTAGTTGACGATTAGCGTCGTTTTAGTTTGTTTTAGTTTAGGATTTGTATGGAGTATAAATACTCCTCCGTAATACGATTTTAGTATCTCTCTCTTTTTTTCTCTCTCTTTCTTTTTACTCTTTCTTACTCTCTTAATTGTTCTCTTAGATTTTAGATACATTTGTTCCCTTCTTGCTACCCATGTTGTTGCCTTGACTTTTTGTTGTTTATTAGCCACATTACAAGCCTATTTTGCCCCATTGGTTACTAGTCCCAAGCTTGGCTTGGGGGAGCTATTAGTGAGTGAGGTGAGGGAGTTTGTAGTGTGCTTATTATTTGCACAATTTGGGTGGGTTTTGAGAAGTTATTTTGTTTTTGATCATGTTTATTTTTGATGAGTTTGAAAGGTATATTTTCTTGAAAAAATAAAGTATGATGTTATGAAAAAAAAAAGAGAAGTTCAAAAAAAAGAAAAAAAAAAGTGAAGTTCAATAGAAAAAAAAGTAAAAAGAAAAAAATTGTTCAATGTTCAAATGTTCTAGTTGGAGGTTGATCAAAAGAAGAGAAAAATTGAGCCTCAATGAAAATATTCAAGTTTGAAAATAAAGTTTGTTTATTCACTCTACTTCTTCATTATTATATCTTATGAGTGAAATTGTAAGAGTTGGGATTATTTATTATGATTGGAGTATATTTGGTTGATGTTAGAGTTGGTTATGTAGGAGATGTATGATCATTATTTATTTTGATCATGGGTTTTATTAGGATATGGCTCCTTTAAGCATAGCTTTTCTCTCACTTATTCCCAAATTTATCCTACCCTTTACCCTAGCCTTACATTACAAGTTTTAAAGACCTTCCGACCTTTGTGCATAGAATTGTATGAATGTGAAAGTGTTGTTTATCAATGCAAGTTATGATTTGACATATTTCGAGTCGACTAGTAGGATTGAGCGTTCATTGTTTTATACACACGAGAGTGTGAGTTGGGAGGGCATTGTTCACATAAAGGGGTTGGATGGAGAGCGACCGAGTACATCTTTTACTCGCCACAAAAATGAGAGTTGAGTGCGTGAGCACTAGTCTTGAATTCTATATGCTCTTGTGGTTTGCTCTGTTTGACAATTGTTAGGGAAGATTGGTAATTAGATAGATTTGATTGGTTGATTTTGAAACATGTTTATTTGATTTACCCTGGATCGTTTGTGCTTGATTTTTACTTTTGGGGTGAAGCATATTTATTGATTCATTGATGAGATCTTTGCTTAGGGACAAGCAAAGGTTTGGCTTGGGGGAGTTTGATGTATCTATTTTATATAGTATTTTACCCCCGTCCCTTGGTTATAATTAGTAGTGTTTTTGGCTCTTTAGAGCCACTTTTATTACTAATTGGTGTTTTCTAGTGTTTTCGTAGATTTGGTTGACTTTTGCAGGGATTTATGCTTTTGGAGTATTTTTCCGAGTTATTTTGGAGCAATCACGAGCATTGGAGAAACACGACCAGATTTTATAGCCCAGGGCCGGTTAGAGCCATCGAACCGGTGATTAAGGGCTCGGTATAGGTGATACCGGGGCATTTGGACCGAGTATTCAAGACCGGAAGAGAAAACCCAGATTGGCCTGAAGTATTGGAGCCCAATTGTAGTCCGAATAGTGGCCCAAGAGAGCCGCCCGGACAAAGAGGCTGGCACCCGGAGGCGCCCCCGGCCAGGCGGGAGAAGCTAAGGTTGGCGCCCGGTGACGCGCCCGGCCGGGCGCGATATTAGTATTAGGAAGTAAAAAGGCGCGCCCGATCGGGCGGTGCCTCGCCCGATCGGGCGCGTATATTTATTAATTGACGATTAGCGTCGTTTTAGTTTGTATAAATACTCCTCCGTAATACGATTTTAGTATCTCTCTCTTTTTCTCTCTCTCTTTCTTTTTACTCTTTCTTACTCTTTTAATTGTTCTCTTAGATTTCTTTCTCTTAAACCTTTGTTCTTAATTCTACTCTTAATTCCAGCTTTATTTTGGTAACAATTTCTCTTCTCTTAATCTTAGTTGTTTATTTAATTCCTTTAATCATGTTTTACTTTATTGCTTTGATTAGTCTAGTTTTTACCATGTGTGAGTAGTTCTATTTCTAGGGTTTATGGGGATCCTTAAATAATATGAAGGGGTAATTTATTATTGTTAATTATCAATGCTAGATTAATTTCCTATTGATTGATTTAATGCCCTGTGACTAGACTAGGCCCGATCTTTTATGAATGAGTGTGACAACATTGATTCGAGATTCGACAGATGAGAGTTGAGGTTTAGGTCTAGTTTCAATAGGCAGATTAATTTATAAATGGTTAAGTCGAGATTCCAGAGATGAGATTTAATACTGGTAGATTAATTTTGTGATTATAATACGTAGCGAAAGCCCTTTACAATATGGTTAATTGATGCATTGATGATTGACTATTATTGATTTTTGGTATTGCATGATAATTTCTTATTGAATTGTTTTTACGCTTTACAATTGCGGCTTGTAAAAGTATAGCAATATTGAATTGATGAATCGAGCAGATGTTAATTTGATATTAAAGGCTATTTTCAATAAGGACTTAGATCTAGTAAATTTCGAGAGCCTGTTAGATCTATGTTGATTAATAAATTGCGAGAGCCTGTTAATCATGTTATTTATGCAATGTCAATGATTGATTACTATGTTTTACACTGGAGTATTATTTATTGGTGAACCTATGCCCTAGATCCTTTTATATATTGTTTTCTCCCTATTCTCAATCTTAGTAGTTTAGTTTCTTATTCAAATATACATATTGGTTACTTCATAATCTAGATTATTTTAGTTAATTAGGAATAGAAAGACTTGTTTCCTTGTGGAGATCGACCCTACTTCCCTATCTACATTAGTTAGAGGATTTAGGTATTACTTTTGATTAGGGGATACGACTTTACCCTGTCAGGAATACATCCCGTGGTCTTATAATGTCGTTTGGACCCATATATGATCATTATTTGTTGTCATAAATGTTCGTGCTAGGCTAGAGTTAATGAAATCGGTGCAATTTGTAAACCGGTAAATTGGTCGTTTAAAGGAAAATTGGATGGCTCCACCTACCCAATTGGAGTCCCGGGGATAATTAGGGACCATGGTAAACATTTCGACAATTTTTTTTATTTTTGGGCGAAAATAGTTAAAAAATTCAAAAAATGAAGGTTATTATGCACGTTTTTTGAGAAATTTTGGAGTTTTCGGGGCCAAGTGTCTAAAAGTCTTGAAATTATAGGGAATACATCTTGTGGTCAAATAATGTCGTTTGGAACCATATTTGATCTTTATTTGTTGTCATAAATGTTCGTGGTAGGCTTAAATTAATGAAATCGGTGCAAGTTGTATACCGGTAATTTGGCCGTTTAAAGACAAATTGGATGGTTCCATCCACCCAATTGGACTCGCGGAGGATATTAGGGACCATGGTAAACAATTCGACAATTTTTATTTTTGGGCGAAAAAAAGTCAAAAAATTCCAAAATTGAAGGCTAATATCCACAATTTTTTTAGAAATTTTGGACTCTTCAGGGCCTAGTGTCTAAAAGTCTTGAAATTATAGGAAATACATCTCGTGGTCAAATAATGTCATTTGGAACCATATATGATCATTATTTGTTATCATAAATGTTCGTGGTAGATTGAGTTAATTAAATCGGTGCAAGTTGTAAAACGGTAAATTGGTCGTTTAAAGACAAATTTGTTGGTTCCACCCACCCAATTGGACTCTTGTAGGGTATTAAGGCCCTTGGTAACATTTCGTTAATTTTTATTTCCGATCGAGAAAAAGTCAAAAAATTCCAAAATTGAAGGCTAATATCCACGATTTTTGAGAAAATTTAGAGGTTTCGGGGTCTGTTGAAGAAAAGATTTGAGATACTAGGGGATACATGTCAAGGTCATATTATGTCGTTTGGAACCATATATAATCATTATTGTTGTCATAAATGTTCGTGGTAGGCTTGAATTAATGAAATCGGTCCAAGTTGTAAATCGGTAATTGGTCGTTTAAAGGCAAATTGGTTGGTTTCACCTACCCAATTAAACTCCCGGAGGGTATTAGGGACCATGGTAAACATTTCAGCAATTTTTATTTCCGGGTGAAATAAAGGCAAAAAATTCAAATACTGAAGGCTAATATCCACGTTTTTTGAGAAATTTTGGAGTTTTCGGGGCCCAGTGCCTAAATATCTTGAAATTATTGGGAATACATCTCGTGGTCATATAATGTCGTTTGGACCCATATATGATCATTATTTGTTGTCATAAATGTTCGTGCTAGGCTTGAGTTAATGAAATCGGTGTAATTTGTAAACCGGTAAATTGGTCATTTAAAGAAAAATTGCATGGTTCCACCCACCCAACTGGACTCCCGGGTAGAATTAGGGACCATGGTAAACATTTTGAAATTTTTTATTTTCGTGCGAAAAAAGTCAAAAAAATTCAAAATTAAATGCTTATATCCACGTTTTTTTGAGAAATTTTGTAGTTTTCGAGGCCCAATGTCTAAAAGTCTAGAAATTATAGTGAATACATCTCGTGGTCATATATTGTTGTTTGGACCCATATATGATCATTATTTTTTGTCATAAATGTTCGTGGTTGGTTTGAGTTAATTAAATTGATTCAATTTGTAAACCGGTAAATTGGTCATTTAAAGGAAAATTGGATGGTTCCACCCACCCAATTGGACTTTTGGGGGGGTATTAGGGACCATGTTAAACATTTCGGAATTTTTTATTTCCGTGCGAAAAAAGTCAAAATATTCCAAAATCGAAGGTTTATACCCATGTTCTTTTAGAAATTTCGAAAGTTTCGAGTCCCGGTGTCGAAAAGAAATAAGATTTTAGAGATATATCTCGGTGTCATATAATGTTGTTTGAACCCTAAATGATCATTATATGTTGTCATAAATGTTCGTGATAGGCTTAAGTGAATGAAATTGGTGCAAGTTGTAAACCGTTAAATTGGTCGTTTAAAGGCAAATTGGATGATTCCACCCACCCAATTGGACACCCTGAGGGTATTAGGTACCATGGTAATCATTTCGGCAATTTTTATTTCTAGGTGAATAAAAGTCAAAATATTCCAAACTTGAAGCCTAATATCCACGTGTTTTGACAAATTTTTGAAGTTTCGGGGCCCGGTGTTTAAAGGCTTGAGATTTTAAGGAATGCATCTCATAGTCATATAATGCCGTTTGGAACCATATATGATCATTATATATTGTCAAAAAATGTTCGTGGTAGGCTTGAATAAATGAAATCGGTGCAAGTTGTAATTTGGTAAATTGGCCGTTTAAAGGCAAATTGGATGGTTCCACCCACCCAATTGACTCCCAGAGGATATAAGGGACCATGGTAAATATTTCGGCAATTTTTATTTCCGGGTGAAAAAAAAGTCAAAAAAATCCAAATTTGAAGGCTAATATATATACACACTTATTGAGAAATTTTGGAGGTTTCAGAACCCGATGTTGAAAAGTTTTGAAATTCTAGGGGATATATATATGGGCCATATAATGCCGTTTGGAACCATATATGATCATTATTTGTTGTCATAAATGTTCGTGGTAGACTTGAATTAATGAAATCGGTGCAAGTCGTAAACCGGTAAATTGGTCGTTTAAAGGCAAATTGGATGGTTTTACCTAGGGGTGATAATGAGACTGAGCTATTCGTGAACTGTTCGAGCTCGGTTCGATCAAAGCTCGGTCAAAGCTCGGTTCGATGAGGCTCGACTCGAGTTCGGCTCGGAACCTTAACGGGCCGAGCTGAGCAAGTCAAAGCTCGGCTCGAAAAGCTCGTGAACAGTTCGATTAAAATATATATAGTAAAAAAAAGTTTGATATTTTAAAAAAATATAAAAAAAAATAAGAAATAAAAAAAATAAAATATATATATTCTCATGACTTTTTAGAACCCTAACCACAACTCCAACCTCCAATACCTCACGGCCGTCATCCCCCTCAAAACACTCTACCCTCAAAACACTCTCAACTCTAAACAACCAGATTTCCACAATCCACGAGTCCACATCTACTGCTGTTCATGCTCCACCGCGAATTAGTGTTCTCCGTCATCTATTCACCGTCGTCTACTCAACTATGGCTGGAATTGGAGGTTAGTTTGTTTATCTAACTATGGCTGAAGACAAGTCACATAGATTTGGAAAGAAGACAAGAGCAACAACTTTTTCACTAAGAATTGTAATATTATGGTTTTGTGGAACTTTTAGATGTTTTGTAATATTTTATTTTATATGAATTATTTGTATCTCTTGGAGTTTGTTTAACATTTAGATGATCGGAAATATGCCAAATATTTTAATTAGACAACACATTATCATAATTTATTTATTCTTTTGAATAAAATGCATTATCATAAAATCATTGACTTAAATAAAAAGAATTAAATATTTTTGAAAAAAAAAAACTCAAATCGAGCCGAGCTTTGAGCCGATCCGAACTTGGGTTTGGAGTCTCGAGCTCGAGCCGAGCCCAAGTTTTCAAAGCTCGTCGAGCTTCGAGCTCGAGCCGAACCTCCTTTATGACAAACGAGCTCGAGCCGAGCTTGCCACTATTCGGGCTCGGCTCGAAGGTTTAGCACCCCTAGTACTTTTACCCACCCAATTTGACTCCTGGATGGTATTAGGAACCATAGTAAACATTTCGGCAATTATTATTTTCTGGCGTAAAAAAAAGTCGAAAAAGTCCAATATTGAAATCCACGCTTTTTGAGAAATTCGGGATATTTCGAGAACCTGTGTCGAAAGTTTTGAGATTTTATGTGATACATCTCGGAGTCATATAATGCCGTTTGGAACCATATATGATCATTATATGTTGTCATAAATGGTCGTAGTAGGCTTGAGTTAATTAAATCGGTGCAAGTTGTAAACCGGTAAATTGGTCATTAAAAGGCAAATTGGATGGTTTCACCCTTCCAATTGGACTCCCGGAGGGTATTAAGGACCATGGTAAACATTTCGGCAATTTCTATATCCGGGCGAAAAAAGTCAAAAAATTCCAAAATTGAAGGCTAATATTCACACTTTTTGAGAAATTTCGAATGTTTCGGGGCTCAGTGTCGAAAAGCATTAAGATTTAGGGTATACATCTCGAGGTCATATAATGTCGTTTGGAACCATATATGATCATTTTATGTTGTCAATGTCCGTGGTAGGCTTGAGTTAATGAAATCGGTGCAAGATGCAAACCGGTAAATTGGTCTTTTAAAGGAAAATTGGATGGTTCCACCCAGCCAATTGGACTCCCGGAGGGTGTTAGGGAACATGGTAAACATTTCGGTAATTTTTATTTGGGAAATTCTCATTGGTAGCCTCGTACTTTTGCTTATTTCCACTGGTAGCCACTTTTTATATGAATTATCTGTGGTAGCCTCAAACTTTTTAAATTTTACTTCCGTAGCCATATTTACTATAAAACGTTTACCGGTTTGCCATATTTACTACTGGTAGCCACTTTTTATATGAATTCTCATTAGTAGTCATATTTACTATAAAACGTTAATTAGAACGTTTAACTGGAGTCAAATACTTAACCCATGCATTTATGATCTCTCACTAACTCCACCCACTTGTAACTGAGTCAGTCATAAAACACCAAACCCTTCTTTTTTTTTAGAACAACAAACCCTTTCTCATTTCTTCATCTCATTCTAACATTGCTGGGTATAATTTTGCTTGAGGAAGTCACAATTACAGTAGATAGCACGAAGGAATCATCAATTGCGAACGAAAGATCGATTTAAGGGTAGCTTCATTCCAAGTATGTGTTAGAGAAATTCACAATTACAGTCGATGCTCTGTTATTGTGTGATTGCGTGTAAGTGAGTAATTTGGGTGAAAGTTAGGTTTTTGTTAGTAAAATATGCAAATTAATGGTTTATTTTTGTAAATTGTGTGGTTTAATGTCGATAATTATGTAGATTCAAGATTTATATTTGTTCATTTTGTGGTTTATTTTTTGTTAAATGGGTTAATTATGCAATTTTGCATGTATGTGTTAGGCCTCAAAGTTAGGCGTTGAATTTCATATGCTAGTGAATTTCGTATGTTATTGTTTCATGTTACCTCAAAGTTAGGCATAAATAATGGGTTAGGCCTCAAAGTTTTGCATGTATGCTATTGAATTTTGTATTATTATTGCTTGATGTGGGTAAGTGGTTAGGACTTGTGTTGATTGTTCTGAAATTGGTTGATGTGGGTACGAGCTTACTATGGACATATGAAAGGGTTTCAAATGATTGTTCTGAAATTTACCTCTATGTTTTTTTTCTGAAATTGTACCTTTTCTTTGTCTGATAATAATGCAGAATGAATTACCTAGTGTGCTTAAATTTCAATATAATCGTAGTGATATTGATGTTGTGGTAGATGATGTTGATAAGGTGAACTTGATTGACTTAATAATTGAGTATTGGGAATTAGCTAGGCAAAATGACACACCCACACCCAGAAATCCTAGGTTTGAATATTGCTATAAGATGATGATGTATTAACTTAGGTCAGATGGTCAGTTAATGGAGATGTTTGAAAGGCAGGTTGGTAAGTATGTGATTCATATTTGGGTTGAGGAGGGTGAGGGTAAAACAGATGTAGTACAGGCTGCTTATGAGTTGATGGTTGGGAGGATAAATAAACAACTTAAGGAGCAGTGGAAGGAGGAAGCACTTAAAGCTTTAAATGAACCTAAACCCATCAAAAAACAAGTCATGCCAGTCAATGTTGAACCATCTACCACTTATATTCTTGATGCACAAGCTGAGATAATGGACCTAAAAAATTGGTTCCTAGGAGAAGGGTTGAAGAGGTAGATGAGAGAATGGAGATAGGTAATGAAATTCATCATATGGTACTCTCACCAAGTAGACAGGTTGCAGAAGATGTGCTACATAATCAAGCTGAAAGAGGGAGAGGGAGAGGGAGAGGAGGGAGAGGGAGAGGAGGTAGAGGGGGAGGAGGTTTAGCAGAAGCTATGGTAGGGAGAGGAGGGTCAGGAGAAGGGAGGGGAGTGACCAATCCTAGCATGTTGTTGAACCAATAGTGGTCCTAAGGAGGAGTCCTAGGAAACAATCACAAAAGCAACCTACCCTAGAAATTCAAACCATTCAAACTCTAGTCAACCCAACCCCACAAATTCCAACTCCAATCAACCCAACCCCACAAATTTCTGATCATGGAAATACTTCTGATCAAGTTGGTTCATCTAGGTCTTCTAAGGTTTTTCCTACAATTAAAAGGAAGGTGCCTTTGACAACTGCTAGGAGGAAAGGTCTGCAAGTTTCTGTTAGTGAGGGAAGTAATAGTTTGAGTCAAGGGGTTAAGAGCAGAAGGACAGATGCACTCACTGTTAATTTAGGTGATGATGATCAGAATTTAGTGAGTGATGATGATGATGAGGAAGACAATTATGAACCTGTTGGGGGTGATGAAAATGAGGACAGTGAGGATGAGAGCCTTGATGAAGAAGACCAAGAAGAGGAAGTTAGTGGGGCTATTATTCATGATAATTTTGCTGAGGTATTTGATGATGGCGATGATGATGATAATTACTTCATGAGGTTGTACAGAAATGGAGAGTTATACAAAGATGAGGAATTTGGGAAAATTATTCTTAAGCCTTGGAAATTGTTTACTGACAAGCAGCATTTGAGGGATGTGGTAAGGGATTATTGCATCCAATGTGGTTTTTTTGTGGTAGTTGATAGGGCAACAAACTTGAGGTACACTGTACTTTGCTCTGCTGAAGGATGTGAATGGAGGTTGCATGCATCCAAGCTACCTGATGGGATTACATGGGCTATTAAGTCCATAAAAAATCCCGAGCATACTTGCAGTGGGTTGGATGTAAATAACCCTATGGTTAGTGCTTCATGGGAATCAAGAGTCTTGATTGAAGACATTCGGGCTAATAATGATATTTCTGCCAAATCTGTAAATGCCATTCTATTTCAAAGATTTGGTGTTCAGATGGCTATAAGCACACTATACAGGGTTAAGCATAAGGCATTGGCTGAAATTCATGGCTCTCATGATGAGTCTTATGCTTTTTTACCCAAGTATTGTGAGATGATCAAGTCAACCAATCTTGGGTCATTTGCATTTTGTGCTTGGGTTCAGTTACAGGAGCCTGAAAAACCATTGGTTTTCAAGAGCATTTTCATTAGTTTTAAAGGAGTTCTCGATGGTTTAAAGGCCTGTAGAAGCTTGATAGGGGGGTAGATGGTGCACACCTTAAGGGAAATTATGGGGGTGTGTTGTTGTCTGCAGTAGCTTTAGATGCCAACAATGAGTTGTACCCTTTTGCATGGGCGATTGTATCTGGAGAAGATACCGACAATTGGTGCTTTTTTGTGTGGCATCTGAAGAACATGTTGAAGGATCTTTGAAGAGGGAACAACTGGTGCATAATCTCAGATCGACAGAAGGTCAGCCCCATAATTCATTATATACTTTTGGCTTTTGTTACAATGCATTCATGTACTAACCATTGTGGTATCTGATTATGCAGGGGATTAATTTGTCATTAATTGAGTTATGGAATGAAGCTGACAGAAGGTACTGTTGTAAGCACCTTGTGGCAAACTGGAAGAAAGCATTCCCAGGGCCATTATTGTTTTCTCTTTTCTGGAAATCATGTGGTGCATTCTCACCATTTACCTTCAAGAAAGCCATGGAACAACTTGACAAAGTTAATCAAGCTGGGAGAAAATGGCTATCAAACTTAGGAGATCAGACAAGGTGGACTAAACACAAGTTCAACACTGAGCTAAAGTGTGATGTCAACAAAACAAATTTTGTTGAAAGTTTTAATGCGACTCTGGGACTGGACAGATGTAGGCCCATGTTGACCTTACTTGAAGGTATAACATGCCACTTTCATTAACTTTGTCGCTTTTCAGTTTATGCACACATCCATGAAATGATAGTATGTGTAAATTTGTTTGTAGGGATTAGAAGAAACACTATGGTTAGGATCGCTTCAAGAAGACAACAATGTGAAACTTGGGAGAGGCAAGATATCTGTCCTAACATTGCAAGAAGAATCCAGAAGCTTAGTCATGCAAGTAGGGACTGCATCCCATACATGGCAGGGGAAGGAGAGTATGAAATCCTAACTGGCAAGTCTGTTCTCCCAGTTAGCTTAAACAAACACACTTGCTTGTGTGGAGCTTGGCAGCTAACTGGTATACCATGTAAACATGGTATTAGAGCAATAATTCATTCAAGGTTAGATCCACACTCATTTGTGCATGAGTTGTATTCTGTGAGCAAATACAAGGAAGCTTACAGCTCTGGTATCAAGTCTATCCCAGACGTTGAGCATTGGCCAGAGATTAATATGCCAGAGATCAAGCCACCAATTGTGAAAAGGGCAATAGGGAGACCTTGCAGAAATAGGAAGAGAGCTGATGATGAAGAAAGGAAGGGTAAAAGGGCTAAGACCGTAAAATGCAGTAAGTGTCAGGCATATATGGACACAATACTTTGACCTGCAAAGGAGGTCTGACATTAAAACAAAAGGCAACCACTAGTCATAAGGGAAAGAAGAAACAACCTGCATCCCAACAGTTCAATGCATCCTCCTCCCAGCCAGTAAAAGGAAAGAAGAAACAACCTACATCCTAGCCTTGAATCTGGAGAAGATGTTTGATTATTAAGCCGAAGTAGATTTTTTTTTATTTGTAACTTAACAATGAAGTGTTAACATGTTCAAGCCTTGTCATTTGAATACATAGTATTAGTTAAGTGTGGGTGAATATGATCTTGACTTTTGGAAATTATATTCATGAAATTTATGTTAACAGTTATGGCAGGGTATTAATTTTGGTACTACTCATTTGAATTTTTTTTTTCCACATTATCCTTGAAACACACATAATTTTCTACTCAATTGGAAAATGATTAACAAAAGGTTTTCATTTTATTCATATTTTAAAGCAGCATACAACCTAGTTCTCTTCTCTATTTCACTACAATACATTAGTTCATCAGCACAATAAATAAGGAAGTACATAAAAGTCATTACAACAACATACTTCACACATATCTTCAACCCTTCATTCATGGCAGCACAAACAACAGAGCAAATCCCTTCCCTCCAAATTACAACATCTGAAGATTCCACCCATGAAAAAAATCCACACAGGTTGCACTTGTAGTATGGTCTTTCGGGGTTGCTCCTTGTGTCAGAGATCCTAACATCAGCATTCTTCATTGGATAACAGTTGCATCTTCTCATTTTTACCCACTGTTCAGCCATAACCATAAAAGGGGGAAGGAAAAGAAAAGAAGAGAGGATGGAGGCATAAAGATTGAAGGTATGGGGTGTTTATTTATGGTGGGAGGTCTAGTTGCATTTTGGTGGAAAACTTTGGAGCCAAAAAAATAAGTAAAATATAACCCTAGTTAGTGTATAAACCGTGATTCATTAAAATTAACGTTCTAATTAACGTTTTATAGTAAATGTGGCTACAGAAGTAAAATTTAAAAAGTTTGAGGCTACCAAAGATAATCCATATAAAAAGTGGCTACCAGTGGAAATAAGCAAAAGTACGAGGCTACCAATAAGAATTTCCCTTTATTTTCGTGTGAAAAAAAGTCAAAATATTTCAAAATTGAAGATTGATATCCATGCTTTTTGAGAAATCTTGGAGGTTTCAGGTAGAGTTGTCAATTCGGGTAAACGGGTCAGGTTTGGGTCGGTAAGAGTGGCTCAGGTCAACTCAGGTCCGGTCAATTTGGATTTATTCCATTACTTATGCGGGTCGGGTTTGGGTTGGGTCATGCTTTAGTTGGGTAATGTCGGGACATACTTCTTATCGTATTTGGGTCGAGTTAATTACAGGTTGGGTTACATTCGGGTCGGGTGAACAATACGTCGGGTTTAATTCGGGTTTTCACAAGTTAAAACGGATTAGGGTAATTATCGGGTTCGATTCAAGTCAATAGTTTGCGGGTTATGATCAGGTTGGGTCATTCTCGGGTTTGAGTCGGGTTCGATTCAAGTCAATAATTTGCAAGTTACAATCAAGTCGGGTCATTTCTAAGTGAGGTCAAATTCGGGTTCAACTAACTATAAATAGATAATTATTATTTTTATCAAGCTAATTATTTCCTTTGACTATAATATATACGACAATATATTAGAGAACTATAGTTTATAATTTAGGAAGATAATTATCTCCTTTGACCATACAACAAAAATATACTATATTTAACTCTTAAATTTGAGGATGATGCTCCTTTTCTTTTGCTGGCTTGGACCGATTTGGTCTCCCTAGACAAAATTCTTTGATCTACAATAATAAGGTCTGGTAAAATTCGGGTCGGGTCGATAACAAGTCGGGTTAAATTTGGGTCAGGTCAATAACAAGTCGGGTTGATTTCGGGTCGGGTTTGTAACTGGTTGAGTTAAATTCGGGTCGAGTTAGGAACGAGTCTGGTTGAATTCAGGTCTGGTTAGTAACAAGTCGGATTAAATTCGGATTTTGACTGGTTTAAACGGGTTTGGGTCAATTTTGGTTCAAGTCGGGTTTGGTTCATGTCAATAATTTACGGGTTACATTCGGGTCGGGTCATCTCCAAGTCAGTTCATGTTCGGGTTCGGGTCTCACATACTCGGGTCAACTCGGGTCTAGGGTTGGTTTCAGGTCGGGTTTGGTCACCATTTTTTCGGGTTCAGATGAGTCGGTAATAATCGGGTTTGAGTCGGTATTTCGGATCGGGTCAACTTTTGATAGCTTTATTCACTACTCTATATGATTTCTAAAAAAGCTCAAAATTGGTGAGTGATTATAAGGAAAAATGATTAAAGATAATTAGAAAACTTAGGTTTGAAAGACATAGGGCCTGTTCTCAGTGACTGAACTCAGCTGAACTGAACTGAGCTGAACTGAACTGAAATGAATATTTTATAAGAGAAGGAAATTAGGAGCTGAACTGAACTGAACTGAACTGAACTGAGCTGAGATGAACTGAACTGAACTGAATTTCAATGTAAGAGAACAGACCCATATTGTGTATATATTGCCATCCTATGGGTTAAAATTTCCAAAAGTAAAAATGTTACACAACCGGAGTTTAAGTTTTTTTTTTTTTTTTTTTTCAAATACTGTAAATCACAGCATTAAAATTGAAAAGGATTAGAACATTTTAAAACAGGTAAAATATATGCATTCCGGGTTAAATACTTAAATTCGTATCATAGTAGTATTTAAAATTATGATTATATTCTTTCAAAAAAAAATATGATTATATAGGTAATTATGTTGGTTGAAAAGAAAGGGTGTGGGGTTAAGAGGGCTTTCATTTGGTCATCTTTGTTTTTAGCAAAGTCAAGTACAAAATCTTTAGGAAAAAAAAAGGAGATAACAAGGATTAAGAATCAAAAATCAATGATGCCACACGAGAGCTTAATATTAGACAATTAGAGGAGCCTTCAATTCGACCCTACCATTTTTTCATAATTATTTTACGTGTATAAGATAATTGGGAGAGATGGAATGAGTTTGCCTTTTAGGTTGCACATAATTTTGGGCTTTTTAGCTATGCTTTTTGCTAGTTTTTACCAAACAATGATTTTCCCATCCTTCTTCCCCAACTCCCATTCTCGTTTGGCACCCAACAACAATCAACATAACATCATATGTTAACGTTGGGTCCACCACGTCAATAATAATACAGGTATAAAATTATAACCTCTCTTATATATTCGACTGTACGATACACTTAAGACTATTTTCGTACATTTATATAAATAGGGTTTTAAATGAGTAAATAAACAAATGATAAACAAATCTGTGTACGTCGTGTGGTATCATAGATCGTATTATAAACGTTCGTTAGATGAGTGGGACCATATTTTTTAGGGACTTCATGTTTTGCTTTTGAGATATTGTCTTCAAGCCCAAACTATTTTAAAGTCTCTTCATTTTTTTTACTACTCTTTGGTGATTATGATAAGGTATAATTGCATAAAAGGCCTATGATGTTATATGTTAGATGGGTTGAAGACCAAGTTTAGGTACGATCATATCTCATTAATGGTAAGTTATTAACATCTGATCCAATCTTATATTTTCTATTTCTCTTCATTAATAGTAGTATAACACATGAATATGAAGTACTCTTGTACGGTACCGTAATGCCTAAGCCCCCCTATAGCCTAGAGGTGTCGAAAAATCGGGCCGGACCGAGTCTTAATATCTCATGCCCAATCCTAAAAATAAAAAAAATAAAAAAAAATAGAATTATCCAAACCCGTTCTATTTTCGAGCCGAACTTATGTTGATCAACTCGACTCTAACCCCTAGGTTGAGTGGAATGATCTACTTTCACAAATATGTTACAGAATAACTAATAATTAATTAATTATGGATTACATTCACTACTCACTACGGAATAGTATATTTTTTTCTCTACTTTTTTATTTTACTTTGCACAAAGGGAGTAATTGAAGTTACAACATCAAAAACTCATTTTGAACTCATAGTAACTAGAGTAATAATGATTCGAGGTAAGCATAGACTTAAGTTTTTGATATACTCATCATTCACTGTAAAAAAAAAAAAAAAAAAAAAAAAGGGAACCAATAACAAAATATAAAAGTATATCTTAAGTTAGGCAAAGTATTAATGTTTTACTGCTCCTAGTTTATTTGAGCAAATAATTGAATGTACAAAATGAAACAGGTAAAAGAAAGGACCACTACCATAAGAAGTATATATCTGATAGACATTACTCTTTATAAACGACATTTCCATCATCCTACTACATACTCTTGCATTTACTGCTATGAAAATGGCCGGTCCATCATCTACTACTGGCTAGTATTTTATTTGTTCATACCCTACCTTCTTTATTTCACAAAACCATGCTCATGTACATTTCAGTTTTCTCATTAATGCAAATTCCCCTATGCCTATGGATCTATTACGGACCAACACCAACCTTTATACGACACCCGACACCCGACACCCTCTCCGGTCATGTAACTGTAACATATGAATTACGTTTGCATCAATATTACCCCTCGACGATGCCTCTAGGTAACACTTCCGGTGTATAAATGTATCTTATATGGCAACTAATGAAGCAGACACACAGCCTTACATTAGTGGTAGTCTGGTAGATAGATCGACGGGGCATTTGATTTGGTCCATTATAAACCTCAACGCTAAAGTCTAAGCAAATGTTCAGCTCCATTACGGATAGAGGATAGAAGATAGAACCGCAACCACAAGGTTTAACTATGTCATTAGAATTCAAGAGAACCAAAAGAACATCTGAATATTTGATTAGTTTTGAAATGCTAATCTGTTCACAAAACAATGGAGGTATTCATGCTATATATCTGATCTTCACTATATAGTCTATAATATTAACGGTATAAAATTACGGAGAAAAATAAAATTAAGAGCTATAACATGAAAAACTATAAAGGATGTATGAAAAATTCTTGAAGACTTGTTCCTCATCAGCCGTTTTCTCTAGTGTGCCATATTTATTTGTTTAGTCTGAGCCTCAGTAAAGATCTATACCTTCCCATTGGGTTCATTGGATTCAGCCCCTAGTAACTTGTCAAGATCTTGTGTCTCCGCCTCAGAGACTGGAGGGGACCAGCGCTCCTTTCCTCCGGGTTTGGATGAAGCATTGCCATACCACATCATTCCCAAGATTGCAATAATCATGCCCAAAACAACGTGCCAGTTGAGACCCTCTTTGCCGAAGAAAGTGAATCCCATGACCAAGACAAAAATAGTCTTCATGTGACCAAGTACTTGGAAGGTCACAGCTGAGAATCTACCGATGCAGATAAACTGGCTCAGGTTGGTGCCGATTGCAATGGTACAGGACAGTATAATAAAGAACTGCAGAAACAAGCAATTAACATAATTAGGATTGTAGAAAACCGGCAGTAACAGATGAGCAGCAGCTCACAAAAAGATCTCGTTAAAAGTAGTGTACAAATTAGCATTAAAAGAAAATAAAGGATATGAGTTGAGAGCTTGTAAGTGTCTAAAACATAAATTAGTGTCACCGCAAGTAACATGAGATATACAAGTTTCCTCTCATTTGAAGAGCTACAATGGAAGCCAAAAGGGCACAAATTTCATGTAAACACACATCAAAATTACTTACCAAAGATACTGAACTGTAAGGATAAGCATCAACTCTTTGACCAGTCAGCCAATGATCAAGAAACGGCCCCACAATAAGCAGGGAAGCAGCCTGTACTGGAGCAGTGCGGCCCAATAGATTGAAAGAACCGATAGAATACTTGCGTTGTAGATGATGTACATACTGCAGAAGATAACAAAATCAACATAAGAACATGCAAAACAAGAAAAAGATGATGTTTTTCAGTGCAGAAGCAGCAGTAGTTTAGTTGGAAAAATCATAAGAGACATGAAGAAACAATAATGCTAATGGCTGAAATGGAGATTGAACTTGCTTAAAAAACTGAAGAACATGCCAGTGAGGTTGATAAAAGTTAAAGCTTGCAAATCTATCATTTAATAAGGGGGGATTAGAAGAATAAGCCAAGGATTATTCATAAAAGCATACATCTGGACCTCCCCCAGTTGTGGTATTAGGAACAAGATCTAGACTTCCCCCAGTTTTGGTATTAGGAACGAGCTGTTCTCATACGTAATTGATTATTCACCAAAATAAAACTCTAAAAGACACAAGTCAAGGAATTGGATATGCCAACAACAAAAGTTTACATAAACCACTATCTGTTCAGTATCACTGTAAAATTCTAAGATATTGGGTTATCCAAGAACCTTGTCAATTTATGGAGAATCAGAACCAGTATTTTCAAGAGTTAAGACCTCCATTTTCTTAAACTGGACTACTAGGACTATTATAACTGTATATTGAATCTAATCATCCAAACTTTATCATACTATCTCTGGAATCTCATAGCCCAAAAACTGGCATGGTAGTAAAACCAAATAAAAGCCAACTAGAGATGACAAACTAGCCGGCTCTCATAAACAAACAAGTCATGCAGCAAAACACAGAATAATTAGTTTTTAGAGCTTACGTATTGTTGCAGAGAGGTACTCCAAACAGCCACAAAAGCGGCAATGAAACCCTTGCCATTGACACTAATGTCTGTGACAGTGCAGACTCCAACCCCAACTAGCACTAATAAAATACTAAGCTTCGTATCCCTAGAGTACCGCACCTTGTCCAATGCTACCTCAAGAAAACAGGACACTGGGATCATACTCAGCTTGGCAATCTGAAAGATGAGGCAAACACATTACTTTTAAGTGCTAAAGTTTGGCATTGTATATTATCAATTCAGTTTGATGGAAAGCTTTACTGACCTGATAAAATCCTACAGAATTCCACATCAGACTCACGTTCATTCCAACAATGGAGAAGTTTGCAAAAAGAACAAACTTCAGAATATCCGAAAACGGAAGTTGTGTAGGCTGGATATAGCCCAGCCAGCGGAACGTAGAAGTCATGAGAGTGGTTGTTAGAAAATGGAGACCAGTCAATGTGGTTGCTGCATACACAAAAAGGTCCACCAGTTAAGCATATTAGTAAAAAAAAACAGCATCACAATTACATTATAAAACCTTCAAGCAGAAATACTGTCACAAATTTTCATAATAAATAAATTTGTAAAATTGAAGTTGCAGAATTCACTGGTACACCTAACACCACTTGAATGGTGATAATTGATTGAAGCTTAATCTATGTCAGTGCTAGGGAAGAGCTTGGCTACATAGAGCCTTAAGTCAAGTATCAAATGCTGATATTATCTCTTTACAACCTAAACCCATATGGTAACAGCTTGGCTTAAGACACCCTGGAGATGCGACAACGCCGCAAGGCCTTTTGGGGTTTCCTCATAGTAATGACATATAGATTCCAAGGAAAGTTCCATCCTATATGACAATTAGCAAGATGAAGTAGCCCACCAACCCATTATGTAGGTCTTCTCTTCTCCAAATTCCAGTAATGACATATTAGAAATACTACTGAGAAGCAAGTTGAAGCTACCCAGTATGGCAGTGTTAACATCACACAACCAGCAAAGGGTATTCCAATTTTGATGATAATAATGTTGAAGCCAAAATCTATAATGTCAATTCAAAGAGTTAAGAGTGTTGGAAACTCATTAACTCATATTGACTAAAGGGTCAGCAACAAATCAATGAAAGTTACACTATTGAAGTCCAAAAGGCTATGCAACTGCCGGAGAGGACCTAAGACCCTAAGGGCACATGTTTCTTCCTTCTGCCCCATTCTCCTATTTCAACCTCCTTTCTTTCCTCAATATCCCCATTTGTGCCTTTTTCCCGGGCTTACTTGAGCTTCCTTTCTTCTCTTCACTGCAAGCCAGGCTTAACTCCTACTTCCAACCCTATTCTTGAACAAGAATCCTGTATTCCCTGGCCCACTCTCACTTCCCCGTGTACTTCAGTATAACTCTTTACTTTGGCCTACCACAAACTTTGATAAAACATAATATTGCAATTCAAATATGACCTTCATTAAAAAAAAAAAAACCTGATTGTTCAAAATATATATTTCCACTTCTTCCCAAAATGTTACTTATTTCTGCTGAGAAGTTCTCTCAACAACATAACATCCACCAGACAGCAGTTCAGTTCAGTGTCAAAACCTTTATTGATCAATGTCTTCTGGGTGTTATTGGTTTACTCAACCCAATATCTACAATGTGCATCGCTTACATTGAAAATTCAAGATTAGCCTGTAAAATGAAAGTGAGGCTCTTGTCATGCTAAGGCAAATATCTAAATCTTACACACCAAAGTGAAAATTGAGGAGGAAATATTTTACCATATACTTCCTTCCACAGTCAGTTTAGTCCCTGAAATTGAAAATGGAAGCCCAATGGCCCCCATCAATTGTCAAATCGTTGGCAGATGCCAATAGGTGGTGCAAGCTGCCACCAATTTCCTAGTCAGCATTTCAGAAGTTTTGCAAACACATCAAGTGTTTCACAAAGTAAAACATCAAAGCGGAGCCTTGATCGAGTTAGTTTAAGTGCTGGCTAGCTTTATGCTGCTTCGAAGTTCAAGAGTCAAGAATTCTCAACTCTGCTTCTGCCCAATAGAAGACCAGGTCACATGAAGCTGTGATGCGCAATTCCCCGGTGCCTCGTATAGGTACCATACTCAAATGTTAGCCTAAGGTACAATAAGTCTTTCAAGGAGTACCCATCTGACTTGTGGAGCATCTTCAGTACTGCAGATTTCAAATAAGAGGTCTAGCTCCCAGCACCACAGTATAGGTGGCTCATCCCCCCAACAAAAGTAACAACGTCGTAAACTGAGTGTCTCTCTTCTACCCAGTATTATTACCTGTTAAACACTCTAGTCTAGTACATTGTTTGCACCAACACTGTCATGTCAAGAATCCATCCTCATGCTCTGTAATTTAAATGAACCAGATTGAACTTTTCCGAAATAATATTTGGACTTAAATTGTTTTAATCTAAATCTAGACCAAATTTTCACAACAAAACTCAATACAATCTAGATCAAATAATTTTCTTTTACATAATTCTGATATCAATCAAAAGGTAATCCAAAATAAAGTCTGCTTATCATTTTGGCTAGAACTTGCCCACATTCAGCCCTATAAAACCCATACTTAGATTCAAAATTGAGAAAACCCTACCAGATGATCACGATTTGACAGTTTGACACTGATGAAAGACAAAATTTTACCCTCTTGTGAATAAATAAATCATCGAGATTAAACTTAAGTATGTTTCTAAGATTGAGACCGAGTCCAATTTGAAAATCCAATCAGGTATTGGAAAGTTGAGTCCGCGTTAGCAATTCAGGCTTGATTGAAATTGAACATCAGCCAATCCATATTCTATTAACTTACACATCTACCCTCAACTAAAGTAAAAGAGTTTATGCTGGCAAATTACTCACTAATCCTCAAGTACTCTTCTTTGATACAAAGTACTTGAGAAGGAAAATAAAGTCAGGCAGGGAGGAGCAAACAAACAATTATCCTGTATTCTTAATTTCATTTGTATTAGCAGCTTATAAATCTCCTTCATATACAGTAACATTATCATAGATCTCAAGATTTGTGATTGATAAAGTTAAACTATGTGCATTTGGAATTTTGGATTCCTAAACCTCATCAATGGCAAGACCCATCAATTAAAATTGAAATAAAAAGTAAAATGCTAAAAAAATACAAAACTCTGAATTATTAACAAGAAACAATAATACAGTTTCTTGAACACAGCCATTTGGAATTACAAGGAAGGCATTAATTTGGAGAATTTATTTCCTATTAATAAATCAACATATTAAATTGGAGAGTTTCCTTCCCATTAATAAATATCAAATGTTACTGTAGGTGGTATGCCAGTGATCACGTCATAAAAATTAAATCTCAACCAACAACTGAATTATGAATCATGTTAAGCAGAAAGCAAAAGGTCAACCATTTATAGATCATTAGCAAAGATAAAGAGGATATGCTAGCAAGAAAATCATACAAAAAAGGTATAATTAAAAACTGTGAATCCTCACCAAAAGTGAATCCATAATTTGCCATCAAGGCCTTGTTAACAATGATGATCCCCACTGAAGTGACGACATTAAAAAACCATGCCCCTGCATCAAGAGCGGCTTTCTTATCACCCTTACTCGACATCATAGGAAGTCACTGCTACAGAGACCTTAGTGCCGCTAAAGAGCCGTTTATCCTGACCGAAAAAACGCCAGATAAACAGCCCGAAAACTAATCCAGATGATAGCTGCAACTCCTCCTGTACACTATCTCAACATTAGAAAGGATGCCTTACAAGATCTGAATGAACTTGAAATCGACAATAAAATTACAAATGACAAGTTATGCAAGACACGCTCACAACTCACAGATGTGAAATATAGTTATGCAAAGCAACCCAGCTTATAAAATTGACAGAGATTGACTAGTCAAAAAGAACCCACCTTTGAATTAGTACAGTAGTATCAAAAATATGCAGTTGATGATGAAGTATTCATTAAAAAAAATTAAGCAAGAACAATTAAATATATAAATAAAAGTCTCCTCTTAACGTCTCAAAGACTAAAAGGGCCCTCCTACCTTGTTGATCTAGAATAATTATGGTAATGCACCCCCAATAAAATAATCAACAAACTGGATCTTACATTACCTTCATAATTAACTACATTATTATTGTTACTATTATTATTAAAAATTTATATTATCAACCTATGATTCATTACCATATAAAAGAATATTTTCACAAGCAACAAACCCTTTTCTTTCCATGTTATGTCAGATTATATTATTTAATTCACCCATAACATGGCACAACCTATAAACACAAATTATTTTAGATCATCATGCTGGAAACACTAAAATACAATCTCAACTTTGTCCCTTTTTTAATAAAAACAAATAATGGGAAACTTCTAACAGGGTCAAATTTCAAAAATCAACTATACTTCATATATTACCCAGAAAATATTTCCACAATTCGTGTTAATTATTTCTAAGCAGTAATTTAATTATAGTTTCGAAATTTTCTGGGACACAGATCAATTTTTATTCAACCCCAACTAATCATTGTACCAAACAAAAACCCAGAACTTTAAAATACAAAAACAGCAAAATCCAGAAATGTAGAGTCTAAAACAACAAAACCCAGAAAAGGAATACCATAAAACAACAAAACCCATAAATGTAATACCAAAAATCAACAAAACCCAGAAAGTAAAATCTGAAATTGCATAGAGCATACCTTTGATTGCAGTAAGAATATGAGACAGAATTTGATAAAAGAAGGCTAAAAAGTAGAAGAAAGAGTAAGGTAGAGTGAAATAGTGAGAGAAATAAGATTTCAATGGAGATTCTATGATTAATATTTGTGGGAATTAAGGGTTTTGTAATCGCCATTAAAGTGGGTTAGGAAGAGACGTAGATTGGAAGAGAGAGAGAGTGAGGAGGTGCACAAGTTTTGTGTTTTCAATCTTTTCATGGTTTTTTGGGGTTTACTTTTATTTTTAAAATTTAAAAAAAAAAAAAAAAACAAATTGAATTAATTTTCACTTTTTTTTTTTTCTTGATCTTGAGAAGTTTAGAGTTGAGAATTTCACAATTTTATAAAGAGGTTTGTATAATTTCACAATTTTTTTTGTTGAGAATTTCACAATTTTATAATGAGGCTTGTAATTGATAAATATGTTTTATAATGGGATTAACCAAACAATTTTGAAGTTGTATAAATTGGACTAATTGTATGTTTTAAAATTTTGGAATGATGAATTAAAGACCTTTAATGCTTATAGTTATTATTTATTGAATTAATTTATGAGGCCAAAAGTTGTGGCAAGTTTTAGGGTGGGGTTACAAAAAGTTTATTCCTTTGCTTTCATTATTAGTTACTTAGATTTTTAAGTCAAATCAACATGTGAGATGAAAGCATAGAGGAGGAGTTTATAAGTTAAAATACAAGTTAATTATGTGTTTTAACTCTTAATTAATGGTCTTTTTCATAAATGATCTTGGAATCAATTGTGATGAGAATTGTGTTGGGTTTGTGGAGTTGCCACAATAAACATATATGTTATGTATGTGCCTAATTTAGGTAAGGTAACATCTAATCCCTATATTTTTCTTATGTGTGCTTAATTTGGGTAGTTTGTTGGGATTGATTTTTATGAGATTGGATTATATAAATTGAAAAACTTTAGTGGGAGTTTTGGTTGAATGTTGACGGTTGTTAAATCAACTTTCAATGAGTTTTATTTTTTACATTTCATTATATTAGTACACAAGGAAGTGATTGGAAAGTAAGAGATAGAGAAAATCCGAAAAAGGTGAATCTTAATTAGATAATAACAAAAGTACTTAAAATTATAATTAGTGGACCAATAGTGTAATGATACGTGCTAAAGAGGTAAGTAAATGAATAAACAAATATGATTTTCATGTCTTAATGTAAAAAAAAAGGTGGGATCTTTTATATTTTGTATATATTAGAAACAAATAACCGCCGAGATAAATATATAGTGAAATATTTGTTTGAAACAAATTTAGTACAGAGTATTACAAAACTATGGGAGTGTGTATATTAAGTTACATACCCTACAGAGTAAAATTTTACCTCAAGATCCCAAGTAAGCTAGATTAGTTTTTCATAATTGTCATCTTCTAATAAATAATTTGCATGTTTATGCACATAAATATATTCACATATACTCATCCCCAAAACCACCAACTTTGTTCACATGGATGCATATGTGCAAACTCACACATATGCTTTAAATGGTGTTTGACCTAAATTACTTTGGTATTTATCCAATCAATTAAGGGAGAAATTAAAAGAGGTATGGAGCTCACGAAGTTGTTTTCTTAGTGAAGTAAACGATGATTAAATTAATGATGTTTGTTAATGGAGTCGAATATTCGGTTAATGAAGAATATATTTTATTCTTGTTTTTTATAAGTTATTTCCACCTAACATATATTCATGGAGATTAACTATGTGTGGTTCCATTGCATGTAATTTCAACGTAGTTTGATTTTTGATTTTAATTTCATAATTTGACCAATAAGTTTGGCAATGTATATATCAATGAATATATTTCATAATTTATTTTAATTTGGGTAAATGAAAATAGTGCCATAGGCGTCGGTTGTGACTAAGAAATCATACATGGTTTAAAATTAATTGTGTTCACTTTATACGCACGGTTATCTATTATGTACACACCGAAGGTATTTATAAAGACTAAAGTTGTTTTATTACCCAAATGATAGTTTCACACCAATAGAAATTCTAAAGGTGCAAGAATGTTTATTTATGTCAAGGCAATTTTAATGTTGTGTATGTTCACTTGTTCAGGATAAAAGAAATTAGGATAATTGACATTTGCTGCAAAAAAAAAAAAAAAAAAAAATAAAAAAAATTGCTAGTTTTGAGGTAATAATCTTAATTACTACTTCCTCCGTTCTATTAATATTGCAACAATGGACTTTTTACACTATTCATCACTCTTGTTTGACCATATAATATGATTTATACGTTAAGCAAAATACTCAAGTGAGATCTTGTTGGTTTCGTCTTATAAAATACTTTCACAATATCAACTTTATATAATTTTTACTCTTACAGAACTATAGATATTTAGCATATAAAATGTGTTTTGGGATGCATAATTTCCTCCTTGTTGCAATATTAACAGAACGGAGGAAGTACAACTTGATATGCTACAATAAGAACACAATTCACATTTGCACCCAAAAAAAAAGAAAAAAATACAGAGAGAGAAACTAAAAGATAAAAATTCACTAATTTTAAGTGATGTTTTAATAGGCTTTACAATTAAAAGTTGTACTAATATGTATATGACTTTTTCAATTAACAATTAAGGATATTAAGAATTAATTTAGCTTATTGATCAATATGTTAAATCGAAATAGAACAATTAAAATAACGAAAGAATTCAAAGTCTTTATTTAAGATTGATTTGAACTGAATTAAACCGAAGTCCAAAATAACCTATACAATCTAGCTCCCTAATTCAAAAATGGGCATATGCCAACCTTAGGAATCTTCTAGAAAGACAATACTTACTAGTATCACTTTATCACACAACCTTCGAATCGGTGTCGGCCTATTCCCAAAATACCCCACCGCATTAAGGCCTCTTTTTAATGTTTTAGTTATGAGTTATCCCACATGCCCTCCCACTTATCCGATCCAAAGCCAGCACTTCAGCCCCTCCTCCTTCCCCATTTGGCCAATTACTATTTTTTGTCAACCATTTCTCGTCGCCAAATGGCAATCCGTCATTGATCAACAATACTCGCCTCCTAAATAATTGATGTTAAAGCCGTCCTCCCAATAAACCACACCTGTTATAATACGATTGACGGAGAAAGCCAATTAGTTGTCTATTTTGCAAAATCACAACCTCCCACTTAATTTTATTTTTAGTGAAGTATATATAATAGTTCACATTACACCAAGTGATCTAGATTTATATTACTGTATCAATGTGTAAACATAATTAGACGATATTCATAACCTATCTAATTATTCAACAAAAACTAGTGTGCACGACCTATATATATCAGTAATGTAAAACTACTTCATATAACACATGAGGTAATGTGTAATTCTTACTCAAAAAGTCAAGCTACAACAATTGGATCAAAATTATTTACATCCTTTATTTCTATATTTCAAATAAATTCTCTTTAATTTCAATTATATAATTTATATTTTATTAGATATTTTCCACAATTTTTGTAGGGTGGTCGATGAATTTTTTATTCTAGCTTGTTTTTATAAATAGATCTAAAAAAGAATGAAATGTGTAAGCTTGTTTTGAGCGTCGGCGTTGAGAAATGAAGATCTAGTAGCATCTTGTTTTGTATTGTCATTGTTAATAACAAGACAAAACACAGTGCCCTAATAATTACAATATCTTGTAACGTATACGTATTAGTTTGGTGAATTATAATAAAGTCATTAATTGAGGTTTTGAGGGATAATTTATAACTCTAGTATTCAAAATTTGAGCAATTATCATGAAGTAAAGGAAAATTATTTTAATATTATGTCTTAACAATTTTGAGTTTGTGATGGAGAAGTAACAATATTAAATTAGATGAAGGGATAAAGCAATCCATAAAAGAAGTAATGAAGTTGAAATATAATATTCCTTATGTTCATATATATTAAAATGTGGTAAGTAGTTATTTTCATCATTGTCATGTTGATACCGACTCAGATCACTCTTTAGATTAGATCATGGACACATGTGTACGATGCTCAATGTTGATTAAAAAAGATGATATAATATAAGAAAATCTAACGCTGATGATTTAAAAGAAAAAATTATGTCGTTGTGTCAATTTGCTAACCTTGTCGTCTCATACGATGTCACTATTCCATATATCTGTTTTTTAAAAATTTTAAAAGAGTTCCAACTATTTGTTTGATCCAATTACAAATTATAAAAATTGAATATGTATTAAATTAAAATCTGATCCATTAAAAAAAATATATATATAATCTGATATATTCATGTATTGAGTATAGTCATGCTTGAAATTCCTTAAAGTTATGAAATTATAAAAGAATTCTCATTTAAATATTATAACTTTTTTCCCTCTCAAATGTACATTTTTTTAAAGATTTTGTAACATATCCCGTATTCCTTTTAATATTTAGAACAAGTAATACTTAATTAATATATATATTTTTAATTTTCCACTATTGTAAATTCTAAAAAATCAGATATTTCGTAATTTTAAAACCATGTACGAAAAATTCAATAATATATTACAAACGCAATCAAAGATGAGCATCAGGCCATTGAAATTGATCCTCAAAAACAAGTTGTTCAATTAGTTAAAATAAGCATTAGGCCATTGAAATTGATCCTTAAAAGCAAGTTGTTCAATTAGTTAAAATAAGCATTAGGCTATTGAAATTTGAAGACCTTAAAATTCAAATTTAAAGCGTAAAGAATAAAAAGTGACGAAAGGAGTATGAAATAAGAATTAATGTAAGGAAAAATTGGCAAGAATAATCTCAACTTTGCTCGATTCGCTCAAAATAATCCCAACTTTTGATTATTTTTAAATAATCCAAACTTTAATATGAATTTGCTTTTAATGGTCCCAACCGGTTACAAAACTTGTTATTATAAGTCACCTGACACGTGTTAGAACGTGATTGGTTAAAAAAAAATAAAATCAATAATTAAAAAAATTTAACTATCAAGTAAAAAAAATTATTAAAAAAACCTTAAAAGAATTTTTATAAAATTTTATAAAAAAACCTCCATCAGCCAGCCACCGCTGCCACCAGCGCTCCTGTCCCCCATCTCGACTGCTGACACCTGGCCCACTTCCCATCTGGCGGTAATCACAGGCGAAAACGACCCTTTCCCCGACGGCGAGCTCGGCCACGAACAACCCCTTTCCCGACGCGCCGCCCTCCTACCAATTCCCCCTCCCCAATCCACCGCATAACCACCCCTGAACGACCCCCGTCCCCTATTCACTTGTTCCCAAAACCTTTAATCAGACTCAAACACACTACCCACATTACCCAACCTTGAACAATCCAGAAAACCAAACGGGAAGGGGAGAGGTGTGGGTTGAGCTTCACCGGCGGGGGAGGGGGGAAAAATGACCTAGGGCGATGGGCGCTGGGAAGCCAGTGAGTCAGCAAGGCGCAGGGCGTCAAAGGTGGGGGTCAAGCTGGGTTAGGGGTGCGGCGGCTGTTCCGTTGTATAATCGGTGGTTTTTTTTTTAATAATTTTTTTAAGTTAGTTAATTTATTAAATCAATAAAATAAATTAAAATTATAATTAAACTTATTTTTGACCAATTATGAAATGACAAAAAAAAAAAAGAAATTACCTATTCAATAGGTTACAAGTCACCTGGAACCATTGAAAGCAAATTCATTAAAGTTCGAATTATTAAAAAATAATCAAAAGCTGGGATTATTTTGAGCGAATCAGCAAAGTTGGGATTATTCCTATCAATTTTTCCTTAATCTAATAAGTTGTTCAATTGGTTAAAACATTATAACAACTGGGCTTTCTATTGTTTTCATTTTGAAGGCCCAAAAAGCAAAAAAGCCCAAAAGCCCAGCAAAACTTAAAATTTCGAAAGAAAAGAAACCGCCATAAAACAATCCAACGCCAAAATTCACTCATTTTCAGTCTCTCTCCTACTCCCGCCATTCTCCTCATTTTTCAACTTTTTTCTTTTTCTTCTCTCTTCACTTCGATTCTTCGTTCTCTTTTCAACGCTCCCAAATTCTTACTTCTCTCTCTAATTTCCTGCTTCAATTTCAAGGTATGATTTTCTTATTTATCTGTTTCTTTAATTCTTTCTCCCATTTTCTCTATCTCTGTAATAGATTAGATGTTTATTTTATATTTTTCTGTTTAATTGAGAATTTTGTTGTTGGAAATTAAATTTCTGGGGTTAATTTTTTTTTGTTGAATTTCATCTATTTTTTTGTTTTTGTTAAAATTGATAGTTTGATTGAAAGTGTTAGTGAGTATTTATACTTGTATTTCAGAAACTGAGATTTTTTTTCTTCTGAGAATCGTATTTTTTTGTTTGTTTTTTTACGATTGTTTGGTTCGCGAAATCGTCTGTTGTAGAAACCCTAATTTTGTTGCTGTTTCGAAATTATTGGTATTTGTAAAATGTGAAATGCGAAATTTTGGTTGTTTTTGTTGTATTTAGTATTAAAGGCAATACTAATAGGATTAATTGGAGAAATCGTATGCAATTAAAATATTTTAACGAAATTGATTCTGTGAAATTTTGCTAAGACTGCTAACTTTGTAAATATGGTATGCCCTGATATAGTGATAAAAATATATAGAATCTAAATGATATTGGTTTCAATCACCAGGGAATTGAAATTGGGATGAAGTCCTCGAAACAGCCGAAAGAGAAGGCGGAACAGCCTGTCATACAAGGAAGCATCAGCAAGAGTCCCACAGGCGGGAAGAAATCTAGAAGCCCCGGAGGGCAGCCAAAAAGAAAAGGTAGTTTCATCCTAGATTCCTAGAACATAAAATGTACTATATTAGGTTTCATATGACTATAAAATCGATTTCTAGAAGTAGAATTTAGGTTTTATTACTATATTAAGTCCCTTTAATTTCATATGGGAATATGTAATATTACTACTAATAAGCCTTTTGTAGGTTGAAAGGTTAGGCTCTAGATTAAGTGTGTAATAACATCCTTATTAGTACATAATATTATTATTTCTGTTTCAGGTTCAAGCATTAATGACTTATATAAATTGTTTTTTTTTTTGAGTCTATATTTCTGTTGAATCTGTAAGCAGTAATATATGAAGTTTCTATCTATTTCTGTTGACTGTTTTTTTTTTTTTTTTTTTTTTTTTTTTTTTTTGTGTGTGTTTTAGTTGGAATGGATGTACGCTCCACACTTTGTAAAGTTCTCCCACAACATGGTGACTGCAATGCGAATAATAGCCCTATTTTAGGAACAGTTAACCCAGTGCCTGTAGACATCCAGCCAGCAAATGAAATAATGCTACATCCTCCAAAAATTGTACTGCAGCTTTTCCCAATCAATGACAGAATTCGGGTGGGATTGGAAAAGGTGAATAATGCAAGTTATAGTAGCTACTTTTATGGGTTGTTTCCTCTTTTAATACAGCGTCTAATTTTTTGTTTTTTCTGAGTTTAGGATGGCCATAATCCATTCTTGGAGCTAACTCTCAGTGTGAGGAAGAAAATATCCTCTGTGCTTAAACACCTTTTCAAAAAATGGGGCAGTTCTAGCATTGCAATGGGCGAGCTGATGCTATTTCCCTTCAATGTTTTACCAGAAAATTTGACTAATTGTACAAAGTGGACTTCAAATGACACTGGCGTTAGTGCAGGATATGTTCATGCTTTGCTTGGGAGCCCAGAAATTTTCCGCTTATGGTAAATGTTCTTTTTCTTGTGTATTATGTAGCAACCTAGTTCAGCTTTCTGACTTTTGCTACTTTTGAAGGTATGGCTGGGTTTCCTTTCAACCCAACAGCTCTCCCTTACACTGTACCACACTTGATCATGTAGAAAATGTTCGTTGCCATACCATGGATGGTACTTTTGGTACTAGGAATGAAGTATGTGAGACGAGTAAAGTGCTGGAGCCATGCAATGAGAATGATTTTACAGATTTGGCAGTTAGGCAGCCAGTTTCATCTAGTACTTTGCATCAGGTAGCTCACAATAATCAAGATGAGGTGAAAAATGAAGACCTTAAGCCAATCAGCTCCAGAAATATAGAAAATGATACCACAGCTGAAGAAGACCCTTCAGCCGAACCATTTAAACATGAGGTTTGCCTTTGCTGCACTTTTTAAATCTGGTTTACTGACCATCTTCTTAGGTGTCGATAATTATCTTAATTTCCAAGAGTCCTGGCTTCATTATCTTATACCATCATTTGCTTTATTGATCCTGTCTGACTCAATTTGGTACTCGTAGCTCTTTACTCCTGACACAAGAAATGCAATTATTTGATCTGTGATATGGGGTAAATGTCCTCTTGTTAATACAAGGAGTTTAAGATGGACATGTATGATGTCATCCTATATAAATTAGAAGTGATTGTTCAACCAAGATTTCCTTGTTCAGGCTACAAGCTTATTAATGTTACATGTTAATAATCATACATTCATACTATTGGTACACGATGCCTTCAAGTGTTAAATGGACTGCCATTTGAAGAGTTTTGGTAGATGGTTTTTGGCTTTGCTATATTCCCCTTTATTTATTTTTTTTTTTTTTTTTGGTGCTGTACAATTTTCAATAGCTGGTGAATTATTGATTATTAAGTTGCTTTATATCTTTTCTACAGGAGCCAAAGCTGGATACCAGCTTTTCTATGACATCACTGCTGTGGTCTGATTTAAGTAATATTAGCATTGGAGGTCTTCTGTCTGAAATATCTATGCAGGGAAGATTTAGCACTGAAGATCCAAGGTCAGGCGGTAGCAGATTGGTACCACAACCTACTGTGGCAGACTCACTAGATGCATTCATTGAACAATTTAAGTACCCTCAATCTTCAACTATGTCTAATTCTGATATGCCCTCATCTATTTTGGATGCCGAAAGCACATGTCATTCATTTGCATTTTCAAAACCGTCATCCTCCAGCAAAGACTTACCACCACCTACTCCTGGGAGAAGGGCTTTTTCTGGGTTATCTGGCCACAATTCTGCTTCTGAATCTTTTAAGAATTCCAAGTCTGAGGTTTGTTCCTTCCTTTGCTTTTGTTATTCTTCACAATCTCTAATACCTGGGATAAACATAAATTACGAGGAACCAATTTTTGTGTGTTTTACAAGGATGTAGTATTTCTGTTTTGGGGTGAGTTAAGACTAGGTATTCAGTCAAATATCTAGGAGCTGATCTCTGAGCCGGGGGGTCAATTCCTGAAAACTGATAGAACCTGGGGGTGAATTCCTGAAATTTGATCTGAGAACTGGCCAATTTCTTTCCATAGAAATGGAACTGATCAATCTGCTACCCTAGTGTTTTGTATACTAACTAAGCAAATTGTTACAAATTTAAGTTTGTGGCTTATGTAATCATAAATAACGTAACTGATACCTTAGCTAAATTATTACTTTTCTGCATTTTGGACTTTTGGTTATTAATCTACCACTTCGTACAAGTTAAAATTACACGGACCACAATTGCAGTCCATGGAAGAGATAGATTACACAAATATAGAAAATCATACGAACCATAATAATATGACAGATCCAGTTCTAGGCGCGAGTGCTTATTAGATTTGCTAGTTTCTATTAAGATATAACTTCAGGTAAGTTTCAGTGGACAATTTCTATTACTGTTTCCAATTGTGTCTGCTTTGTTTTCGTCAGGTCAATACACAAAGTGATCTATCTGGAAGCGACAATGTTCAGGAACCCAAAACGGATCCCCTCCCTTGCTCAACAGGAGTATTTAACAATGAGAACAGCCTTGGTTTATCCAGCATTAGATGGGTATATATTATTAACACAACTATTATTTTAATTAAGGATATATACCGTACATTGCATTTTTGAAGGTTCTTGACATTAAAGTCCCTACTTGTTTGTTCCTCACATGATCTGTCCTTTCATACTGATTTCAGAATGACTCGTTGGGACCCTTTGATCTTCCCTTAGCATCGCGGCAGATTATTAAAGATGACAATTTAAGCATTGGAGGATTTGTCAGATAGCAACTTTGATCTTCAGATGCTTCTGGACTCGACTTTGGTAGGTACTAGTTGAGCATGTGGTTTATAATTCAATTAATACCATCTTCAAGTCGTAAGCAGAAGGACTTCCTGGTTCATACGAAGCTGTCCTGCGTTGTTGTTTTGGCCTGCATACTTAATTAGGTGGTGTCCGAAGACATCGAAGGCCCACCGGTACCTTACAGGCATGCATCTGATCTGCTATTGTGTCTTAAGATGGGTGTTGATAGCTGTTAATAATATTTGTACAGATCTAATAGTTGGTCATCTTCATGTCTAGAGTTTTATATACATAGAACACCTTCATGTGGTAGTGGTTAAATTGCATAATTCTTTCATCAATGAAAGTACACCAGCTTGTTCCTGGAGTTGTACCAATCATAATTAAATCTAGACTTTAATTTATTTGTTGTAGGTATTTGATGGTTCAATTTAGTGAATGTGATATTAGAGTGAAATTTATGATGCACTTATGAACAAAGAAATTGTTGGACAAGATTTTTATAGATCACTATCTTATTTATTACTTGAATATGATTTTTTTCATGTATGCTTTTCAGGAAGAGTTTTTAGCCTTTTCTTATAATTGAAGTAAGAGAAATGTGTATCGTTTATGGTGATGACATAATCTTAAGGAGGCGGCCATTTGTTTTGTTGAGAAAAATTATTGACGTTTTATAATAAGTTTGTGTTAGACGGTATCATGGGGCAAATATCCTCGCCCTTAAAAATATGAAAAACTCTCAAATTCCAATTAAGTTAATCCCATATCCTCAGAAGTACCATAAATTGAAGGAAGTTGAATGTTTGTCAGGGCGTATTTTGTCGTTGTTATTGTTAAAGATCACTGTTGCATGATCTATATTGTCATCTTCAGCATGATCCACCTAAAAGAAGGATATTGCTTCAGTGAGTCACCTCTTTATTGCGTGTGACCAAACTTTTTTTTTTTTTTTTTTTTTTTTGAGGGAACTTTTGTTTGGATTTAGATAATATATGAAAATCTTACATAATTTCATACTTTTGATAATAATGTCTACAATTTATCCCGTACTCTATGTAACATAAAGTCTTGGGAATACATAACTTTGAGAAAATTAAGGGGATTGAAAAATAGTGCAGTCTAATTTATATTTATTGGTAGATTATGTTTTGAAAAATTGTGCTTGGCCATTTTACATAAAACAAGTTTAGATTATCAATAATTTGAGAAAATAATTAAACACAGAAACTAAAATAGCAACAAACTGAATACGCCAAAAAATTAAATAAATATCATAACTAACCCTTTATTGTATTATATTTTGGAAGTATTAAGCAAAATCCTTGAAAGATTTCTAATCACTACAACAATATTATTGTCTAAGGCAGTCACAAAGTTGAAAATGAGACATTTTGGGCATAGAGAATCTCTACTAAAATTGCCTGTAAATGAAACTTAACTTGCAACCTTGATTGGCAAATAAAGCAAATTCCAGAAATGCCTAAACACACTTAGTTTTATCAAACTGTACAAACCAACACAATGTTCCAATAACATGGTAGAAAGATTAAACTGATACTAAGTTTTACACATCAAAATAATCATCAGAAAATTTACTCTTGATCCACTTAAAGCTGTTGCGAAATGTTGATTTCAGCTTACCCTCCATGGCATACATGTTATAGGATGCCACTCTCTTCTTCCTCTTTACTTCCGGGTTTCCGGACCCTCCGAATTCATCCCCGTTGTTGCTCGGGCCGTTGAATGTGTAAGCTCTAGGACCATCTTCGAATGCATAGTTGGCTTTTACATAGGAAGAGTATTCCGGCATTGATTTGCTCTTCTCCATCACCAAAAGTTGCTCTGATCTCTTAAAGAATGGGAATGAGTAGTTCCCCCCAACTTCACAGATGTATATATAGACCACAGGACACCAAAACAAAAGCCACTGTATATGTAGGAAAAAGTAAGGGGAAAGAAAAAAGATATTAGTGGGTTACGCGTGGGTTTAATTAAATGAAATTATTGGTAGATCAAAAGATTATAATCTAATGAACATATGGTTAATACAGGTGGGTAAGAAACACGTGGGGCTGATGTTGTATATGATGGGAGACCACAGATTGCATTTTCACACAATAAAATGCTTTAGCTTTAATGACATGAATACCTTATCTTATGCAAAGTAGAGTAAAGCAATTTCCAAACTCGTCAACACATGCGTATGTGTTGCAACAAAGTATGGGAGACAACAATCGATGACTAGTGCAGCAACAAAAAAAAAAAAAGCCGCAGAAAGAAGAGTGATGAGGATCCCTACTCCCCGAAACAGAAAGTAGTCACGGCCTTGGCGCCTTTGGGAGGGGGTAGAATTAAGGGGGTAATTTACCAAGTTAATCACCATGACATGAAAACAGAAATGATGGTAAAGAAACCAAATTACCAGATATTAGACAAAGGGTAAGCAAAAGTCAAAATATGAAGCATAAACAGTGTTAGGGGCCAACTGGCTAACCATCATTATAGAGGCGGAAAGGAAAGCAGTGGTAGGGGACACTACAGATTGAATCAGCAGGCCGATTAAAACCCCACAAGCCACTCTTATAAATATGGTTTTATGGACCCATTTTATTTAGTGTTTACTTTTTAATTCATGATAAAGTTGAAAAATATTGTTGCTTTCTTTATGGTTGTTGCTTTGTGGGCCTAAAATAAGGCCGATCTTAAGCAATTATCAGCATTTGAGCCAATGAAAAATGTTGATGTTTGATTTGTATTATCAAATAATTGTCTACTTTCTGTGTGATGGAAGTTGATGTTAATCTAAGGTGAGTATGGAGTGAGAAATGGATGATTAGTTAGGAATATTCTAAGATAACTGATCAGAATTATCTGATTCCGTGATAGTATAATAGATATGGTGAACATAAAAATGAGATGGTAAATCAACTTAAGCTAAGAAAGGGAAAAGCGGAATAAGTGGAAACAGAACATATATATCAAACAATCGGTAGAGGAATGTACTCACATGTACTCACTGACTGGAGAAATTATCAGCACCATTTACAGCATTATCAGTCACGATGTTTCCATCCTTGGCCATGAGTATTCTGTATATGCTCTTTGAACATTTCGGGCCTACTCTTTTCCCATCTTCTAGAGGTAGATCTTCGAGTAATAATTCCTTTTCAGATACCTAATATTTCGATTTTAGAACCACCAAATATTATGATCCACTTTCATGCATTTAATAATGAGAATTTAACAGCAAAGACAGATCAATCAAACTTTCCTTCAGAAACAAAAGAGCTCAGTCTGTAACAATTTAGGATAATCGGTTACTGATCTTGAACACAATATAGCCCAAATAGGTATGACAAGAGTTTTATTCAGGTCATGAATAAGTGGTTCTAATGTAGGTCACTTTCAAGAGAAACTAATACAAAGGCCTCATACCCTACACAAAGAGGAATGAAATATACTGAATACTGACGCATTATGTAGATTTATAGCATCATGAGATTTATACAGATTAAGATAGTAAAACAAGAGCTTGTAATATAGCTACACCTATTTCAAGACCAATTAATTCAAGAACTATATACGTATGGACTAAGATCTACCCCTAGAACCTTAACAATAGTTCTAAGGCTCTCTAGTAGCCTTTTAAAGGCATTTAAAAGGTGTTTTAACAATAACTCTACACACTATCGTTTTCTAAAACAAGGAATTAAAAACAAATTCAACCTCAAAAGCAACTAAGCAAGAAAGGGATTAGAACAATTTGCCTCAAGATAATTCACAAATATCGAAAGAAGAGGATAGAGTGGTAAGCACTGGTGACCCTGGAAACAGCAAGTATTTTTAATTTTAAATGAAAACAAGCCGATATACATGACTCAATCTCATAATAAACATAACAGCAAGACCAAAATCACAATAAAAACAGAGGAAGGCAACTGATGTAAACAATATTGGGAAAAGCTAAGGACGTATGCAATTGGTGGCAACTAAATCCAGATGAACCCTGAGACATTATTTGCCAGAAACGAACAATAAAACCCTAATCACAAATGGAAAAGAAATTACTCATAGGAATCAAACCATTCTAAATGTGGCAGGAAAAGTAGAGAAGAGCATTACAATGCACTGGTAGGAACAGATGAGAACGCCACAATTTATAGAGCAAAGTGTCGACACAATGGTAGTTCCAAAACCACCTATATTTCTAGACTGGCGAATCAGAAAGTATCCTTTATCAACGGTATCAACTATCAAGCATTAATTCTAAAAATAGTCTCCCTTATTACATCCCTTTGATCTCTCAAGCTATTATCAACTAAAGTGCAGTGCAGAGGATGGAAAGAAGTGTATTGGCACATTTAAATTCTTTGGATGATAAGGTAACTAATGTCGCATAATCAGAATTTCAAACAGTAGGTATCAAGATGTTCATAAACTAGGAATTGTGCAATTAAGAATTGCCATAGCAGACGCATAACCCAAAAGGTAGAATGCAAATTACGATACAATACTGAACAAGAGCTAGACTTTCAAGTTTCAACAGGTAAAATAAATACTCAACAAGAGCTTACATTGCCTTGCTAAAGATTATGGCCCCTCAAATCGAGAACTCAAATACAGGAAGCTGACCCCAATGAAAAAAAAAAAAAAAAAAAACCCGAAAATTTAGAGAAGTCAAAGCAATTCAGTAATATTGTTCAGCATATTGACCAATCTCTAAAAGGTCAAAAAGCAGCAGCATATCAGATTTCTAATTTCTCTCTTTCACATTGATTAACACTACGTTTGGATATAGAGAAATGGAAGGAAAGGGAGAGAAGAGCAAAGGAAGGATATATCATCCTTTATTTGGACATCTAATGCAAGGAGGGAAGGGGAGGGAATTGGAAGGATCCATTCTCCTCCCCCTTTTAATAAACCAAATCACTCCATTGTTAGAGAGATTTGGATTTTGGAAAGAAATTGAAAGCTCACCTTCTCCCTCCCCTCCCCTCACCTCCCTTTCCCTTCACTATTGTTATCCAAGCATAGTGTAAATAAAGCAAAGATCTGGTCTATTTGCATAAAATGCAATGTTCAACTATCAGCTACTTCTATGATTCTACAACAGCCTATGTACTCATATAATAAATGGGGTAGCCGGGTAGTGGCGTAAATTTTTAGATCCCCAACTTTTGAAAACTGATAGCTTGTAAACTGGTAGGAAATAATTTCACACATCATAAAAGAGCAGAAGTACCATCCCAAACAAATTTAGTAATTAAAAAAATCAAGAAGCCAAAACATGAATGAAAGGCTTACAGTTTTAGTCGGATCCATGTAGACTTGCAAGAGAGACTTCATAGAAGAATAATTCTTCCCTATAATAAAAGCATGTCGAGGTTGCACTTTCGGGATTGAAACCAGTGCCTTTAACCTGGAAACCGAAATATAGGAGAGTATTATTAAAATTACTGTGGGAAGATGACTTGAGTCCATTTCCATAAGAAGATCTTGTTCATAAGCTAAGTAAAAAATGCATAATCATAAAAACTCAGCGATGGGACCAACCATATAACAAAGTAAATAACAAAGAGTAAAAAAGGGTTTCAATGCAGCTCTTAATAAGTTTTAATGAAGTCAGCGATAGGACTAACCATATAACAAAGTAGAATAAGTTAACAGAAAAAGGACTAGCATATAACTCAATGAGTCAAAAAGAACTCCAGGGCAGTGTCAAGAGAGCATGACTGCTTCATATTAATTTTAAAAAAAAAAACGATGATGTACACCTACAAAAAAAATCATACTTCTTTTTTCCGATTATCAACTTAATGACAAGATAAGAATAGGTTACATCAGGCCTTTACAGTTTACACGGATTCAGTCACCCAAGCCTGATGCTCAGAGAGGATATCAGCTTAAGGTGGACAATAGAGAGTGTTTGACATGTTAGTAAGGCTTTTGCTTGGTGCAGCATCCACAAGGTTGATAGGAACTGTGTTAACTAGGCACATCTACTTGCAACCATGGAAAATGATAGTTTAGTGTCTTTTTAATTACGTTTAGTTTTGTATGTTTAAGCTCATGTCAAAAAAAAGAAAAAAAAATAATAATGACGAAATTCAGTATACTTGTTATCATACTCAACATACAAAATACATTATTATATGAAAGAAATATTGAAAGTTAGGCAACACAAACCTTCCCTTCATTAGAATAAAAATTAACATAGTGTGTCAATGCATAAATAATAAAACGAGTTAAACTAGTATAGCTGATTTTGTTAAAGTAGATTGTTATAATTATCATTAATTAATTTATTATAATTATCATCAGACAATTCACTCAACTAGAAACTAAATTTGAGGTTAATGATATTGGAAATAAGAAGCTATTGTATTAAAAAAAAATTAACCAGATTATGCTTATTAATCAAAAAGTATAAGATATCTATAGTGTCCATGTCCTAATGTTTTGGAAAAAACATTTTTTCATCCCTGAATCAAACCAGTAAAAGAAAACCTCTAAAATTTGGCCAATAATTTTAAAAACTTAAGGAGAAAGAGGCAGAAACCTCTCAGTACCATGTACTTGAGATTAGTGCATGCAAGGAGTCTCAAAGGCCAACTTTGAAGGGTGCTTCTTTTGATGAAATTCATCTAAGTGTATGTGTGTAGATTTGAATACTCTAGATGAAAAGCCTATTTGGAAGAATTGGAAACACAAGTCAAAAACTCAAAACTATCACACCATCAGTGTCTAATTGTTCGTTATATGACATGCCAATAAACCTGAGTACCTGACTCCCCTACTATTCAGTTAAAGTGCCAAGGCATCTCGCCATCACCTATTAGATTGAAAAAGGGGTTGACAGATGGCGTGGAAATGGAAACAAAAGATAGGCATGAAATTTTGTTACAAGGCTGAAAATAGTCTTGCAGAGATATATGGAAATTGCCTTTGCACTATTAACAGTAACACAATCTAGGGAGTTGAGAGCTACTCCTCTCGTTCCTTGTAGCATGCACCATATTCTTTTTGGGAATTCCTACAAGAGAATGCTCCATTCGGTTGATGGTCATGTGGTACCATTACTATCATTAATACCACTCAGCCAAATTACTTATTTTTCATAAAATCAAACCCAGTAATATACCTATTTACGAGTAGAACTTTCGCACTTGCATGAGTTGCATTATATTTCTAGAGCAGATATAAAGGTTCAAGATAGAGATTTAAATTGATGATACTAGAAGTCCAGAATCACAGAAAAATAAAGGATAGAATATCAAGATTTCAAGTGGCCTGATTCTCTCCCAACTAGCTAAACTAAGATATCAATTCTATCTTCAGAATGCCCTCTTTACTCCCCAGTCCCTACTCTTCCACATACATTATATCTCTGATTCTCCTTACCATAAAACCAACCCTCCTGCTCAAGATGCTACTAACAGAATAACATTAAATAACCTAAATGCTCTCCTCTTAGGTTGGTTCATTACAAGTTACAGGGTGGACGTAAATCATCAGCCACTGAACAGAAAACAATGATAGATATTTGTGTGCCATAATGCAGGCTACATAAACATGGATGTACCAGAAATACTAACCATGAATCCTTCTTTATAACGCTTCTGTACAGACAATCCTTGGTCACATTACATCCATTGGCATTCACAGACAAGTGTGTCAGCTTCTTGCTGCCAAAAAAAGCAGAATACTTTAGGCACCTCACTTAAATGTTAACTAAAGATAAAATGATGTCTAAATTTAATATTCTAGCAGTAACTTATGGAGTAAAGAGAGCATGTAAAGCAGAAAGGGTAAATATGTAAAATGCGGTAATAAAAAAATGCTTAGATTGTAGCTACTTAATTCCAGTTCATTAGAAATGTTTTTTTAGGGTTACAGCTTAGAAGTTGTAGTTTAGTGGATTGTAGGGCACCTGTCAGATAATGCTAGGACCACTAAATTCTTCATATTCATTTAGCAACAGGCGCTCAAGTTTTTAGCTACACCATACATTGGAGCATTAGGGTATCTACAGACCTGAAACGTTGATTACATAGAGCAATTTCAAGGTCAAATTCACTTTGAACTTGATTAATGCATGGGTGGTGAAGTATATGTTCGTGCCTGTCCTAGAGATTTGACTTTTGTTGATTGGAAATTGGAAATGGATTTTACAAAGAAACAGTTAATTACAGCATTGATTTTGGAACTTGTATATGTTTGATACTTGTGTTGATTACTGTCCAACAGATTTTATTATCAATGACGAAAGAATATGAGATTTCTATTTATAATTATCACGAAATAATTCCCCTAGGTCAATAACCAATATCAATAAACGGAGATTACACATTTCAAACAACAGAGAAAGCTCGTGATTAAAGAACAGTTCCATTTTCAGTACTTTTTATAATTCTTATTCAACAAATAAATGGTGAAATTTTGTATTAAAATCAGATTACTACAACAGTTTTAACAATACTTAGTTGCAAACTACCTTTTCAGTCGTTTCAGATAACAAAGCATGTGATGGGTCCAACCACTCACATTAAGGCATACACATTAGGGCTTAACAACTAGGAATGCATTACCTTCCTTTTTCCTGCTCAAATCACTAAAATCATGAAACACTTTAATTTATTTCTTTCTTATTTTACATACTCCTTCTGTTTCCGAAAGTTTGATTCCCTAGGCAGTTAAAAACTGGTGATAATTTTTTTAAAAAGAATGAAAGCAGAACACTAGAACAGTATACCTTGGCATGATTCTCATGTGGGTTGCATTGCATGTATGATATCTTTTGAAAAATAAATATAAAGATTTACCGAGACTGGCACTTGGCAAGGTTGATTGTCAACCCAACAACATGTTCAGCTACTTCAGCCTCATCAACACATTGTCTTATATGAACATTGGAGAACTGAGTAGTCAACTTGGCAAAAAGCTGTGCAAAAGCATTCAGTTAATTCAGCAATTTTAACAAGCAATAATAAGAAAATATTAAAAGTATTGGATGATCCAAAATGAAATTATTTAGAGACTAGAATTTGCCAATATGTCTTGCCTCTTCCACAGGTGGGCGTATCCAGTCACTAGCAACCTTTTGTTGTTTATACTTCTGTTGCTCCCTGCAAAGATAACAAGTTATGGATTTTACTTCTTAATAAAGCCAGGACAGTTGAGGAAACTTGAAAAATGAATACATAGCAGGAAGAAGATGTGGAATTTACTTAAAGATGAGAAACTAATCAAGCAACACGAGAACTTCTACCCAAAAAAATCTTCCCCAGAATGCAAAAGAAAGAAAGAGTGAGAATACGAGTACGTGCAAAGCATTACAAGGTTCTCTAGGCTGTATGCTAGTAGGCTCAAATAAATAAGAATGATTTTAAAAGAGGACAACCTTTATGAATACAAGATCATCTCTTACTCTCTTGGACTTTACCTTAATCACACTTTCCTTTATGTTTGTTTTCCAGCACGTAAAATGTGTATATCATCACAGCGGAGCAGAGTTTTAGATAACGATGAAGGTTTACACTTCCCCTTGCTTAATATGCTCCACTGTGATGATATACAAGTTTCATTTTCTACCACTTTGCCTTGCTTCCGAGTGAGGTTATTCGTCGTTGTTCAGAATTTCAGATGAATAACCCTACCCCATAACCAGGTCTAGGTAAAAGAAAACAAGTGTGGGGCATCAGCCTCACTCGGAAGCCAGCAAACCCCATCTGAACAGCATCAAAGAAAGACAGACATTAAGATTGGAGAGGGGGTCACAACTTACAAGACTCAACAATAGAGAATCCTGGATTACCTAAGGCCATGATTAATAAATTTTGGCATATTTACTGAAGCCTTTACAAAAAAAAAAAAAAAAAAAAAAAAAAAAATCTTCTCATGTGCCACTACACCAATAAACAAACAGAATTTTACGCATAAAATCAAGGAGGCACAAGATCCATCAAACAAGATGAGGGAAATACTTGCAATTGTCTCACCTTTTATTGATAAAAGACATCAACCTATTTGTAAGGCAGCAGATTGTGTAAGATGGATAATGCTTTTGCACAGAAGCAATATGATCCATAAGAGATCCATCATTAGCACGTTTACAAAATTCCCCAGCATCACCATATATGAGCAATATATATTGTATATCATTTTTTCTCGGAGTATGCTGCAGACAAACAATAACAAACACTCAATCAGTTTCAAGCTATTCCCCAGGAATTGGATACATTATATGTCACCATAACTGATATACAAGTAAAGGACATGATATCCTTCTCTGATTTGCTATATAAATCAGCTCACATTTGTCATTCAAGAACAAAAGAGAGTTAGGTAGAGTTGGAAGAAATAGCTACATATTTTTCATTCAAACAAGGAACACAGTAGCAGACTAGCACTATAGGACAAAAGCAATTAAGAAAGCACTAAGGAGAGGGGGAGCATGGGACTGATTCCTGATTCTGTATGGCACCAGTAGAGGACAAGAACAATTAATATTAGGTTAATGTTTTGTAATATGGCATTAGTATATAAAGTATAGTAGTGAAGGCGGTTGGACATTATGTGAATTGTGAGGAAATATGTTGAGAGAATGGTAACCTCAAGTTGCTAGGAGAGTGATAACCTAAAGTTATCCAGAGAGTAATAGCCTAAAGCAACCTACCACTTTTGTATCCAAAATTCTGCCATTATCAATCAAAGACTCAAACTTTAATCTTTAATTTTCTGGTCCAATAGAACTTATAATCTGAAAATCCTAGTCTATTACATATACATACATCTAAGAAGTACCCATCATCCCTTTTCAAGTAAATTATCCAAAAAACAGCAGAAAATTACGCAAAAAATTGAAGAAGACTAGTGGGTAATCTCCAAAAGACGGTTCTTAACATTATTCACTTTCAGAGCCCTAAATCATTCTACAAAAACAATCACGCAAAAAATTAAAGAAGACTAGTGGGATAGTGCATCAAAGATAAACCAGATTTACTCAATGAAAAAAATGAAAAGAAAGGCCTTTAAACATAAGAAGTATAAGGAACATGTTCATAAGGGAAAAGAGTCAGTCAACTTGCATCTTCGAACTAACTTGCATCAACATAAACTATCAACAAGTTATAGTTCCATTTACCTGAGAAATGTCTTTGGGAGTCTCTATTCTCCAAACAATTGATTTTTCAAAGGGATTTGCAAAAATTTCAGACCTAAGATCTTTCTGGCTAAACATGGTTAGCAGTGGTCCTGCATTCAAGAAAAGTATCAATAAAACTAGTTAAGAAGTTAAATTTTTTTTACGTAATTCAATGAAGAAGTTTAGTAGGTATATAAAGTATACCCTTACCAAGCCTACCTCCAACTAAACCTGACAGAACCTTCGGATCAATCAAAGCCACAATGTCTTTAGCACTGAACGTATGGTTCTCCAACTTCTTCCTCTCTTTTGCCAACCGTTTCTGTTTTGCGGTTTCATCCTTCAATTCTGCTTTACGCAACCTCTCTTGCTGCGTTATGAAAAAACTCAGATGCTCTAGTCTTAACATGATCAGTTACATGAAATCTATGAAGCATAAGACTGACCTCCTTCTTGAGCTTTTTTTCCTCTAATAATTTCTTTCTATTTTCAGCCTGATTAACTTTGTTCTGTTTCTTCTCTGTATTAACATCACATCCACTTTCTGGCTTATGAATTGCACCTCCTTTTTCCAGTGTGACAATTTTTTGTCCACAATCATGATTCTGAAAATACACCTGACTTGCATTAGCACATGATACACGTAAACATTTAGTATTGGTAGAGCATCAAAATGCGTAGAAAGATATAAAAATATTATTAAGTCACAATTTATCAGTCACCTAAAGCTAGAGGTATGCATCCAACTTCCAAAAGTTTTAATTGTACAACTCAAATCTAAGCTAAAATTACCTAATGTGCTCTCCAATAGTTTTATCACTTTAGAGCGCCTTGAGTTTATTTATACATTATATTGCCATTATAAAGCATAAAAAAATGAGTGTAAATGAACTCAGTGCCTATGTTCAAAGAGTAACACTAGACTCTAGACAACAGTAGAACATAACACCAAACAGCCTTTGGACATCCATTACTTCAAAAATACGAAAGGATCCTATCAACAATCTATATATCCATTGCAATTGATATTGACAAACTAAACATGTTAAAAGAACAAATCATAAGCATGACTTCACTTAACCCTGAAATTAACTGAAGACTTGAGATCATGCAATCTTACAAATTCAGAATTCCAACTGCCTACCAACTCAACCTAGGATGACATTATTAACACATAATGCCTCCTAATCCATAGTCAATTTATGAGAACAAAACAAGCAGTTCCCTTCTCACTATCACTGATAGCATAAAGGTCAATTCCAATTTGTTCCAATTAGCAAGCAACTTTAGTTGAAATAGTAAGCAAAGGCATAGATATGAAGGAAGAACTTGGCAAAGTGCTCTTCAAAAAAAGCCAGCCTCCCCCTTCAAAGAAAAAATGAGAGTGTAGAAGGCAAAAAGACACAGCCCTCCATTCATCCACCAATTACCAACTTTACTTGCTCGATCAGCTTTGGGACCGCATTGAGTGTGCAAGGCTGCAAGCTATAACACATTGTAACAGTAACATACTAACATCTTGATATTATTAGGAAATGCAGAGAACATATCAATAGAAAAACCAAGAGGGCTTTAGAGAGATCAAAAGGCAATAAGAAAGTCATATTAATCTTACTTTACTAGGTTGTATATGACTGCTATGGTCATATGTCTTCGTGGACTCCAAGTTCCCTGGATAACAACTATCCAAGGGATCCACATTGAAAGTAGCAGTAATTCTTTCCTTCTCCTGGCAGTTCTCATTTGCCATAACTTTAGGTCTCTTTTTCGAGTTTTGTTCCACATCTGTAACTGTTCTTCCATTTTCCATTGAACTTCTTTTTCCTAGACCTTTCCCCTCCACATGAACATTGGATTCCCCTCCCTTATGAAGACAAACGGTTGAATCTATGTCTAACCAACTATCAAAATCAATCTCACGCTCCAGCACACCGTATTCAGGGCTTCTAACCTGGTCCTTTCCTGAATCAGAACCTGAACATGATGCAAACATACAGTCACAAAAAGGCTAATAAATGAAGAATATCGATCCATTCATAACCTGAATCAGAACCTTTCTAGGCAGGATTGTTGTCTATAGAAAGGTTCAACTGAAAGCGCGCCCATTCCTAATCTATCAAGTAAATGAAGAATATCGATCCATTCATAACCTTACATGAGCAACAAGGATCCAAAAAGGCTTTTGCCACAATAATACCAGTGGGAGCTTCGAATACAGACCTATTTTTTGAGGGAAACGGCCAAGTAGCAATAGTATTCAACTAATCCTAAATCACATATTAAAGTAGCAAAATAGTACAAAGATGAAGAAAATACTAGGGTGGAATCATAAGGGATAATCGATAACGATCAAAAGACCAAAACTTAAGTCACAGCAACCCATGATTGCATCATGAACTAAACCCTAAACAGAACAGACCAAAACTAATAGGTAACTTTATCAGCAATTACAAAACAATGTTCTTCAGTTCTTAACATAATCTACAATTAGGAACATTGAACTAGCTTTGATTCAAACAACCCCACTACAGAAGAATGCAGACTAATAAAAAACTAGCCTCATTTTAAGCAGAATTTTGGTTTTAAAATCTAATCAACAAAAAAAAAACAAAATGTCTGAAATTCATTTTTAATGACAACCCATTAGAGTATAACTGCATAATTACAAAAGGGCATCCCTAAAAATGGAAAAGGGCAATCAATTAAGCATTAATCCTCAAAATAGACGAGAAGCAAGATCATCAAAACGTAAGCAAATTCAAATCACAATTCTAACAAAATTAAAAAAAAAAAAAAAAAAAAAAAAAAAAAAAAAAAAAAAAAAACCCTAAATTAAAGGAAAACATCAAAATTAATTGAAATAAAAACAAATAAACAAAAAGGGGAAAAAATTGTGACCTGATGAAGAATTAGCGAGAAGAGGAGGAGGAGTGAGTTTGGAAAATGGGGTTTCGGGAACAAACGAAGACGATGAATTGTGGAGTTTGGTCGTCGGAGGAAGTGGGCTGTCTTCCACAAGATCGACGAAATTAGGGGGGTTGAGTGGTTTGGAAACTGGAGTTTTGGCGTTGGCGTTGCCATCGTCGTCATCGTCGGAGTCAATGAGTTGGATTACTGGTGGTGCAGCTGCCATCTATGATTTTTTTGTTGGAAGAGTGAGTGAGTGAGTAATTTAATGGCGGTTTGTTTGGTTTTGTTCAAATGTGGGTGTTAATGGCGGGATTCACATATCATATTCTACCTCTTTCACTCTTTTTTTCTACCTCATCACTCTTTCTACAGAACGTTTTTCCAATTTGAGCTCTAAACGTAAACTAATGACAAAAATGGTTGCGTGGCAAAACTATTTACCAAACTAAGCTTCCAGGGTAAATCGCTGTCTCGGACAGCGTTTTACCCCTGGTTTTTTTTAAAAAAAAAATTCAACTACAACTATTTTATATGTTCAACATAAAGCGCTGTCTCAGACAGCGCTTTATGCTTGAACATAAAACGCTGTCTCAGACAGCGCTTTATGCTTGAACATAAAGCGCTGTCTCAGACAGCGCTTTTCTGCTGGAAACAGCAACCAGCATCCAGGCAGAAAACAAGCTTCAGCAAACAGCTTGCATGCTGCAGTCCTCCAACAGCCACCACAACAGCCAGCTCCACAGCCCTACCCCACCACCGTCGACCACCAACTCCGCCACTCCCCACCACGTACCACCACCATATTCTGGGAGTTCCGTCAACTTTAAGCACTGCAGAAAACTCGAAACAGCCCAACAACAGTCCAACCACCAAATTAACTTCAAAGCACACACGGAGTCATTCAAAAAAGATTTATTATATTAATTTCATAAGTGTTATGTACATCATTACACAAAATAACAGGGAATACAACAGATAATACTAGCCCGACTCATGACAACAGATAATACTGTTTGCTGAAGCTTGTTTTCTGCCAACAGATAATACTGTTTGCTGATAATACTGTTTGCTGAAGCTTGTTTTCTGCCTGGATGCTGGTTGCTGTTTCCAGCAGAAAAGCGCTGTCTGAGACAGCGCTTTATGTTCAAGCATAAAGCGCTGTCTGAGACAGCGTTTTATGTTCAAGCATAAAGCGCTGTCTGAGACAGCGCTTTATGTTGAACATATAAAATAGTTGTAGTTGAATTTTTTTTTAAAAAAAAACCAGGGGTAAAACGCTGTCCGAGACAGCGATTTACCCTGGAAGCTTAGTTTGGTAAATAGTTTTGCCACGCAACCATTTTTGTCATTAGTTTACGTTTAGAGCTCAAATTGGAAAAACGTTCCTTTCTACAAGTACCCCTATTAGTCCATATACAACTATTTTTATAAAAAAAAACAAACAAAAACTTTTAGGTTGTAAGATAGAGTTAAAACTTAAAAATAAAATAAAATAGATGAAGTTTAATCTTAAATTCTAAGATTTTAATAAATTACTCAATTGATGTTCATTTGTACTTATAATAAATCTTTCACGGTGAGCCATATTAGAATTATACTCCATATAAAAATTAAGCTCCTCTCTCTCTTCTCTTTCCTAAAAAACCCTAGCCTCCTCTCTCTCTTCTCTCTCCTAAACTTTAGCCTCCATTGTCAATTTTGAAGGGGCTTCCATCGGATTTCACCGGTGGAAAACCCCAATCTTTATTTTCTTTTAGGTTTTTAAATTTTTCTTAGGTTACAATAATGTCTCCCTCAAAAGAAATGGTTTATCTCCTTCGAAAGACAAGGTTTTTTCGATCTCCTTCGAAAGACAAGGTTTTTCGGACTCCTTCGAAAGACAAGGTGTTATTTGTGTTTAATTTGGTCTCTGGTTGTGCAGGGCTACTATTGATTATGGCTCGGATTTGGGTTACGGAATCAACACAAGAATTTTCTTTCTCACAAAATTGCGAAGCGCCGATGGATCCACTCAAAAAGTTGTATGAGACAACGAACCGAGAATGTACCGAATTGTTATATTTATGTATTTGGATTCTTATCCCTTCCCTGATTAATTCTTGTTTGATTTTGTTAAATTCGTTTTCATTATCGTTAATTGTCAATTGTAGATGTCGTATGGCTATTATTAATGAAATTTAATGTCCTTTAGGACTTCTTTCAAAAAAAAAAAAAAAAAAGCTTTCACGGTACATATGAAGTATTACTCATTATAGTACTCAATACACCTAGTTTTAGGAAATTTACAATGCTTTACTCGTTTGCTGAGGTTCTCACTTCATAGAGTATACCTAATGGATGACCCAAAATATTTGGTCATGGATTATTATATAATTTCTTTATTTTTCCATTCATCTATGATCAAGTCACATGACCAACCATGACCAAAGACCAAATTTGTTGCTAGTATATGCAAGTTTGCCTTGACCAAGTCATCCAACAATATTACTGTTGGTGTCTTTCATTTGTTGCTAGTACATGCAAGTTTACCTTTGACCAAATTTTCAGCTTGGTCATCTTCAAGACCAGGTCATTAATCTCTTTCATCCAATTTTTTCTTTGTTTCATTTTCTTGATATAAAAACTTATCTCTCCCTCCTCATGACCAATGACCAGGTCATTCAATGGCCATACTCTTACAAAGTATTCAGTACCTCAATAATCCAAGATTTGGATTTTGCCAAGTGATATATTTTACCTTTCCTTTAATTCCAACAGCTTAACCCGCAAAATACAAGTGTTTAGCGTTCATTCATTATTCGAGGGTTATGCAATCTATGCATAACCAAAATTTACGAAAAACAGCAACATTAACAACTGCTCTCAACTAAATAAGAAAGGGTGATAGTGTAAGTTGAATGAGTATCATGGTAACCAAATTATAATTGTGAACTAGAACATATCTAATTTCATTTTTATTTTTTTTATTGCATCCCTTAAATAAACAGAAAAAAGAAAAAATTGATAAAAATAGAGGTATTTGTTATTTTGAATATGAAAAATTATAATGTCTAGGTTACTTGCTTAGTCGGTTGCAATCTTTGCAACACAACCTTTTCATTTTGGCTTGCTTTACAAAAGCAAACCAAAATAATAAACTTGCGGCAACAAAATTTACAGTATTAGATGCAACTTCTAATTGACTAGTACAATGCATCTCCTATTTCAATATAAAGTAATTTCAATCATTATTATTATGACGAGTGAGGAACAAAGGTGCTTTTACTATTATTACATCTAGTAAGGAGCAAAATGTATTACACTATAATCACATCGAGTAAAGCATAACATATTACACCAACATGATCATACACCAATTGAACCGTAATTAATAGAGGAATGGTTGATTGACCTTACCCACATGAGGAATGAAATTTTTTAATAAAGAATTTTATTTTATTTTTTTCCAAAAAAGGCTTATATATTAAGAAACAGGGGAGTATACAGAATTCAAGAGATTTAAATTATAAAATCCTGGTGTCAATGACTTTGAGCATGCTATGAGCTTATAACTCTCAGACATCTCCAATAAATCATAAACATAGTCTTCTGGAAACAACCCTCTTCTGTAACATAAACAGGTAGCGCAGAGAAAATTGTCCCAAATTGGATTAAACATGAACGAAGACATCCATCAAATCCACTACTTCATACAAAGTATTCATCAAACTACATTTCAACTATACAGGTGAATGCTTGAAGGACATGCCTACATTAATACACACCCAAAACTTCTAAGACGGTGATCAGTTTGCAAATTTAATAGTTCTGAACAAACGCATATCAGCTGGGCCTCATTTTCCCCTGCAAAGATTAATAAGCAAAGTACTATTATTTCAAAGAGGGGGGGGGGGGTAAAAAGATGTAACAGAAAACTCGAGCACATATGAGTATATGACAAGGAGATGGTAAAAAAATAATACAAGTATAGAACTTACGTATTCATCATCAGAGTGATATTGTCTCCTTTCAAAAGGATCCTCCCTGAACAAAAGGCAACAATGATAAGTTAGTTGTTGGACTCAAGATGAAGGAGTGACAGATGCAGAAATCATAGAATAGACAGTAAATTTTACCAAGTGATTTTCTGGTCTTCTTTTTGACATTCACCTCTTCTGCATCGTCTAAAACCAAATTCATGTACTCATCAAATCCCTGAAAAAGAGATCACAGATCAGTATATATCAATACACAAGAGAGCTGACACAGAATCAGAGATGGATATCAGCAGCAAATACTGAAAAGTGCAATACAAAAACTTTTGAGGTGTAAATATATATATATATATATATATATATATATATATATATATATATATATATATATATATATATATTTCTGCTCAGTGCAAAACTGCAAACGAATTAGTAGTTAAGAGGATCAGCACAAGTAAACAACCACCCAAGGGCTAGTAAATTTACTGAATACCACTAAATATCAGTTTGCTAGTTGCTGAACTATATGGTAGCTAGTAGCTACTCATTCCTAAATCAACTTAACAGGTCATAAAGACAAAAAATCATCTTAAAAGCCGCACAGAATTAATTACGTGACAAGTTACCTTGAGAATCCATGGATAATGTTAAAATAGCAGCAAGGTACACTGAATATTAAATCGAACCCATGGGGAATGTTATGAATAGAAATTGAGAATCCCATTTGCTTAAGTGCATACATCATTGGGAAACACACTATCATTTTCAAGCGAGTTTTAACAAGTGTAAGGAAATATATTACAGATAGACACCCTAGTACAAAAGGAGGGTTAAGGCTAAAAGCATCCTGCATTTCTGGCTTTCTGCCTTCAATCTATCATGTAACATTTGATCAACTAGGAGGGGGAGTGGCCCCTTTCATTTTCCAAAAGCACCACCAGATTGCCAACCAAAAGAAGCCTCAAGCAGCACAATAATTTAACCATCCTCCACATATTTCCAATAGTATTTATACATACACTATGTTAATCAGACTCTTTCATTTACCTCACGTGTCCGTGACGACACGACACGTGTGTCGGACACCGACACCGACACTTGGACACTTCATTTTTAACTAAAAACACAACTTTTCCAAGAAAATGGACAAGTCCGATGCTTGGACACCCGTGTCTAATTTGACACTTCATCCGAGTCCAAGTAACATAGCATACACATACTGCCTCATTTGAGTCATTTCCCAACTGAGAGCTATGGATAGAAACTTCTCTTTAATGATACTACGTATTTGATACTAGTCGCAACCAAAGGCATTTAAGATTCAACATAAACATGCCAAACCTCCTAAAGCCTCTTAGCTTTTATAAATGAATTAACTACTGAAGTTGTTATCTACTTATCTCTAGTAATCACTGATACCTTGAGCTAACCAAAAGTCCAACAATAACCAAATTGCTCCCTAATTAGAGAAAATACCCAAAAGAGCTAAAAATCATAAGCCTCCACAATGAAAATTGAAATCTTTATGGGGCCTATCTATCTTAAACCATATCTCCCAAAAGTTTCCAATACAGATTTATTTGGCTTCACAAATTAGCGGATCATGGCATGCAACGAATACATAAATCTTACTGTTATTTATCAAAATTGATCCTGGTACTACTCAAGTATGCCCCTCATTTTCACTGCATAAGTTTCAATCCATTAGTCAAAGCCCTTTGATATTATATCAGGCAACCAAAAAGAGCTACATCAGGTAAGCATACCTATTCACGAGAAGGTAAAATAGTAAAAAAAAAAAAAAATCAAGTTAAAGTTATGGGAAGCACATTTACTATTCACACTATAACGACTTATACTGCATAATAGTGTTGGGAAACCGCTAAATTTACAGTGATGAAACTATTGAAGAGAAGTTAGTAGGTTGGGGTTTTGTTCCATCCACTTTACACATGCCTATATTGCCTACATATTCCTAGGATTACCTGTTTAGCAATCTCTTACCTCCATGAGCTATCAATCCTTTTTGGCTCTAATGTATCTACAAAACCACGGGTAAAATGTCTTCCTCAATCTCTCCAACCCTGCTCCACACCCGCCATAGCCTTACCCTTTCGCCAAAACCCCACCCTTTCGCCAAAACCCCACTGCACCGCTATTTACCCGTCTATGAAACTACTAATCACCATCCTTTTTGGCTCACCAAAGCCATCACAAGAAGCCCATAACCAAAGGTTGGATCATTGACCTAAAATGCTTATGTTTAACCACAACTAGCACATTGGCAGTGAAGACACAGCCCTACTAGAAAATAATGAACCCAAAAAAAAAAGCACACCAACAAGCATATTGAACATAAGCCCTAAGACCATCAACAACGAAAACCCTAAATTTCTTAACCAAATTACTCAGTAAGAATAAAAGCTTACAATTATACGGCCTTCAATCCTCGCATCCTTCTGCTCAAACAGCCAAATCTGGATACGAGCTTTCTGCATCCAAAACAAACAAATCAAACTCAAATACTTGCATAAATCAATTAAACAAAAGATAAACATATGATGCAAAAAAATTGGTATAACAATGAAATTGGGACATACGCTTTGAAGAAACCTGAAAATCAAGTTCTGAAAGATTCGAAAGTTGGCGGAAAAAATAGCGAATCATGAAAAAAAAGGAGAAACAATTAGATGAATTATTCAACTAGAAAAATAAGAAGAAAATGTATGAAAATGGAAGTGAACTTACGATAGGCTGGGTCATAATCCTCTGAACTTTGGTGCTCGCCATTGTTGCTGCTTCGAAGTTGAATTTGCTGCTGATTTGCGAAAATTGGTTTTGCTGCTAAAACCCTAATTGAATTTGAGAAAGAAGACGACGAAGAAGAAAACCCTTCAATAGAGTGGTGAGTTGAGTTGATATAATTAAAACCTCGGAATCTAAAATTGTTAAGGGCCTGAATTGGTGGAAATATTTGACTCGATACGAAACCCAATATAAAACAGACCCGAACCGGTCGTATAATTGTATTACTCAAAAAACATCTTTCGTTTATCAAGTGACAAAGTTGTACGAGTAATATTTTGGGATCTCATAGGGTAAAACCAAAATAATGTAATAAAATCTATGAGTAGTTCAAACTATGTCATTTTTAGTAACAAATACATAATGAGAGCTTTAATCTAGTATGGCTGAATTAGGTTGTAAATTGATGTTCATTCTTCGATTAAAAACTTGTTATTTTCAACATATATCTTGTGCATTGTATCATTTATTCATATATGGAGTATGACCCAAGTAAACAATATATAAATATATACTCCGTATTAATGTTCTCATCGCGAAACTCGTTGAGTCAATCGGAAACCGAACACTTCAGATTTTGAACAAGCATAACCCAAACTTAATTGGATATAATGTATTTTAATCCAAAATAAATGTCCCCACAAGGCTTGTTGTAGATCCCATGAGCTAACTTTAGACCTTATTTATAAGCTTAAAAAATTGAATCAAATCAATTTGAAACTCTAAATGACCTAAACAATGAGTAACGGAGACCAAAATCAAGCTCAACACAAAAATAGAAAGTTTAACTCGAAAGTATAATTAGACTGTAATTGGTCAAGTTAAACTCAATTGCATCAATCAAGCCAAAATCCAAATTAATATTGCAAAACGCATAGATTGGGCCTTGATTTATAAACAAAAATATAAGGAACATATAACCAAGAGTAGTGATTATGACAATTTAAAGAGAAATACCCTTATTGGTCATTTCATTGTCAGACTCATCATGATATGTCTTTGATGTGACTCATTAGGTGTATAAGAAATGTATCATGGTTATCAACACAATTACATATAATCAGCTACAAAATAACGTCATAAACCATTTAATATTAACGATTACTCGTAATTTGTCACAACAAACCCAATAAAACATTTTATCCTGATCAAATTTAACAAGTACTTTGTTTACGTTATATCTTTTTGAAAACGACATGATTTTTTTTCATGAAAATGACAATGTCAAATATCATCTTTGTATCATAGACTCATAGCCATGCAATTAGGAAACACAGTACAAGTGTTCAACTATCACCCAACAAAATCGCAACTTACAAGATTGAAGAAATGTTGCACCAACGACCCATGTGAATTTATGAAGAGACAATATAAGGTCCTTACCTTAGATGTGATATTTGCTTTAATAATGTCGGTTGTTCTACTTAATTAGATACAATCATGGATCATATAAGATAGAAAATTAACTTGTAAATTTGAAAATTAACATATAATCCAATGACACGTATAATATTTTGCATGAAGGATTGCCTCAAATGGGAGATTAGTTGAAAAGAGTCCACAAATTGTGACTGATTTGGGCCTTAATCTCGTGCTAATGTTAAGATTATTGTCCTACTGTTATTATAGAGGTTGTAAGGTTTGCTTCCTAGAACACAACAATACTCGACAACCCCCTTAATTTTTTAGGCCCACTCTCGTAAGAATTCAATCTTTGACAAATTATTATTAAGAACATATTGTCTTGGAGACTCATAACTATGTTAATCATGCATGTGAGGAATATTTGTACGGGTTCGATAGAGAATTTTAAAAGCGTTTGGATCAACCAGTAAGAGAGTTGTTATAATTTAAAAGTTAGAGGTTTTGAGTTTTTTTTTTTGAATATTTTTTTTTTAAAATAGTAGGTTTGAGTTTAAATTTGTTAGGAGAATTTTTTTTTGTTTGTTTTTTTTTAAAAGGATTTTGAAACTACTAAATCAATTAAACTCTAACGGATTATAAAATTATTAAGTAGATGTTACATATTCGTCATAATATATATCACTAAGCTTACATTGGAGAAGAATATGCCCTTATACAATCTCATTTTCCTTTGTTTGGTATGTGGAAGAGTGGAAAATAACTTTTTCCAATAGTGGAAAATCATATCATTTACAGTGGTCAGTGGAAAACATATTCCCTTGAGAAAGGATGCCGCATTTTCCTTCATCCTATTTTTAATTTCCTCTCCTTCATCCTCACATTTTCATCCCTATATTTAATTTCTCTATAACTTTACTTGATATAACCAAAAAAAAAAAAAATTAATTTACAATTGTGATTTTCTATGTTTTCTAATGAAAACTAATTTTTCATTAAAAGTATTTTACATCAAATCAAACCAGGCCTAAACGTGATGTATGTAATTAAAAATTTATCACACCCCTAACTTTTTGTCTATGATGGGTAGTAAGTTTATTTTCATCACTTCATTCCTTAGTTCTCCATTGTTAATTAATTGCATCATATCGTCCCTATTTGTTCTTCGTTGTCTCTATTTTTTCTCCCTAATATTTTTCAGTACGAGGTTTTCTCCTAATATTTATTCAGTATGAGGATTAGCTGTCTACACTTCTCATTTTCTCCACTTTTCATTCATAAAAATCAAGCTATACAATATCATACTCCAAATCCAGTGAATTATAATGGATGCATGCTATAAGGACTAGGACACACGTACATAGAGCGACATCTATACTTAGTATTTAAAAACTATAACCAAGGAAAACACATGTCTCTATCCTATTACACTTCAATATTTTTTCTCTAACCTAAATGCCACATGTCTTCTTATACTATTAATTAATTTTTTATTACACTATATTTCTTTAATTCTTTCATTAAAATTATATGCTTCATCTTCTATATACACTTCATCTTCATCTTCATCTCCCCTCTTCAATTCAACCTTTTGCTTTTCTCTCTTTAATTTTAACCCCTACACCTTTATTTAATCCCCATTTTCAATTACAATTCCAAAAATTAAATTTCTTAATCATATTTTTTATCACACATTATAAGCATAATGGCTTATTGATATATCCTAATTCATCTTTCAATGCAATTTTTTATGAATAACCCGTGCATTGCACGGGTCAGAAGGCTAGTTGTATTAAATATGTGGTACATATTTACGTGCACTTGTTTTCCCGATTACCTGCGCTATGGTCCTTACGTATATGATACTAATGATTTGGCTTAGTACTCGAAAAATTTATGTAGGGTAACAATATCAAATCTTTGAAATCAAATCCCGTTTTTTATGATTATGTACATTTCGAACCCATGACCTTTGCTATCACGCCGACTCCTATACCATGTTAAACGACCAACTCAACTAAAAACTACTAAAAACTTAAGCTTATAGTTGAGGCCAGGTGTTTTATACTCTATCACAGACATTGCATATACTCCGTTTCTAAATGATGGTCTTAAAAATGTTATTTAATTTCAAACATATAACAGATTGGAGATTGTGGAGAAACTAAAGATTGTATTAAAGATTATTTTACTCTATAATTAATATGTTTAGAAAAAAAAGAATTGCCGGATTGCCTTGTATACTATTTCCTCAGTGTTTAGTTACAACATTTCTCTTTTTACGCTTGTCGATATATAACTTTTTCAATCGTTAATATCTTTATTTACCAGGCCAATATATAAAAATTATAAACATTTGATATTAAAATAGCATAAATTAAGATAAAACTAACAAAATCCCACATGACCATATTTTTTTATTAGCGTAATCATTAAAGTTAGACAAAGTAAAACACGTGAATAATGTAAAAGTCAAACTATTGCAACTACTAAAAAAAATGGAGAAAGTATATGATTCTAATTTAGAAGGGTGACATGTTTGTATTGTGTTTGCCGTGATAATTACGTTCGTGGCGGTGTGTTGACTCCCAACTTGTAGCATAAACATACAAATATACAAATTTGAAAAAGACCCTGTTATATATGTCGTGCTAGAAAGCTCCTTCTATTCAATATTCATCAACGTTATGTTTTTTGACTTTTATTCAATTGTTGCTTATTACTTTATTAGTGTAATTAATCGATCTATATAAAATATCTATGCATTTAGGTGTGTCTATTGTAGGGTTTCATTAATTTAATTATCTAAATTTTTTAGTCAGATGGAGAAATACATAAATAACTCATAACTCAAATTTAATTAGATTATAAATCAGATTAAAATTGCATTTGTATTTTTATTCACCATTTTCTTAGGTCTTTGTATTTTCTTTTGTGTATATAGTTTTCAATTAACAATTTAATTATTATCATCCTATTCTGTTGTAAGAACATCTACAATAAAAGAGATTAATTATAAGTGTCCCTAACTTTTGGGTAATTTAAGGAATGAACAAAGGAAACAAGAAATATCTCATTTAGATAAGTAAATATTGTATGTATATAAGATAAAACACAATCATACATAATCTTGTTAATTTATTTTTATTTTATAAATTAAAAGTTGCATTTTGCATTAAAGTTTTATTGGCAAATTAAGATGAAAACCTATAAAATTTGTCGTCAAATATACCTAAACCATTAAAAATGTCAAGATCAATTCGAAAAACTGTTGATAGATGTTATATTTAGACCTAAAATGTGGGTTATACTTGTAACAAAGACGATTTGATTCTACGGAAATAGTTGCACCACATGATAACCCCAGCTACCCAACTATATACTTCAATTCCTCCCTCTATATAAACGTACTATCTAGCACAACTTAAGCTAATTAATTAAGTTAAGCTAAGTAAGCAACATCGTACTTAACAACTCAATTAACCCTAAGCTAATCAACCATCCCAAGTCACCAATATCAAGCTAAGCTATAACAAACTCCTAAGATGGCCGTGCCAAAATGCAAGCCTTTCGTTCTCGTCGTCTTCCTTTGCCTCATTTTATTAGCTCCTCTTACAGGTACATATGTACTCGTATAATGTTTTCTTTTTTCTTATCCTTTAAAAAAAATAAAAAAAAAAATATATGTGTAATCTTATTGTTTTACAACTTTATTGATTGAAACATCTTATAATTTGTATATTAGCTTGATACATTAATTTGTTCTTCTTTGGTTATTTGTGAATATATTAGATGCAAGTAGGAATGTGCCAATGAATAATAAAGGAGCAACACCAATGAACAAGAACATGAACATGAACAAGCATGATGATGTTATTCCAAGTACGACGTTTGCTAATAACGTCGATGATAACGTAGAAGGATATAACGAAGGTGATCTTACGATGATGGATTACACCCCCGTCAAACGAAAGCCTCCAATTCACCATTGATATACATATATAAAGAAGTACTAAATTACAAGCGAGTTTAATGCATACATGCATGGAATTTGATGATTAAATTATTATTAGTCGCTTGTTTAGTAAAAATTATGAAGAGTTGATGATCACCACCTAGAAGATCGAGTGTTCTATTATAAATACTATACTCACATGTATTGGTCGTATGTTGTATGTTTTTATAGTAGTTGAAAGGATATAAAATGGTATGTATGTGAACTCGCGTTGTATATCAGTATCTTATACATACATAATAAGTGTAAGGAAAAGTTGTATTAGTCTACCCTACTCACAAGAGTAAGGAGTTGAGCCTATATGATATGGAATAAGAAATTATATAATCCGTATGTATTTTTAAATTTAAAAGTAAGTCTTATTTAATGTAGTAATTGACTTTTTGATGTTTATTTTGGCTGACTAGTTTTACTTAATGGACTGATTAATATGGTAGTAAAATACATTGGATGTCTGTGTTGAGATTGTTGATTAATTAATTGTATGATAACATACACACAACACTTCATCAAGATCGATACACGAAGGTAACCCGAAACAGGTGCGAATGCGTAAGTCCAGCTAGAATATGATTACTGAGCCTTCAATCAGTCTAATAAGCAGTTCCAAACATCTTATGCTTATGTCCAAAATTTACCCGTTAAATTAAATTTAGATGATTTCAGATAGGTTAAAATATAGTGAATGAAAAAACGTTGTTCAATTGTTGCTACTCATGGACAATGAAAAGATGTTTTAGCAAAATTTAAATATGAGAATTATGGTTTTTTCGAGGGTTTTTAGAGAATTCGGGTGTTTTCCTTTTTTTTGAAGGGTGTATCTCATACAGCTTATAGAGTACTTTTTTCGCCTGCTTTCACAATTGTAGGGTTAAATGAGAATTTTGGATGATTTTAAGAATTAATAAGATACTACAGTGATTTGCCCTAATTTTAAAAATCTTTTTTTATGATTAAATTTTGTTGGTTATATACTTATATGGGTTATTAAAGACTTTTTTAAAAAAAAAGGCAAAGTAGAAAGAAAGAAAAAAAAAGTACGGAGTACAGTTCAAGGGATTACCAAGTCAAAATTTAGGGTTTTGTAAAAAAAAAAGCAAAATTTAGGGGCTAATTAATGAAAGGCCATAAACTTTGATATATGGATCTTGTTAACAAGCACTGGGCGTTAGATAAGAGATTAATATATTACTTTAAAAAGTATTAAGTTCGGAATGCATGACAAAATCGCGCGTTGATAAATGTAATTAATGTTAATTTTACTTTTATTTTTTTATATATAGCTCTCTTATCCAGCGCCACGGGGTTACTCGTTAACTTTTGCCTTGATATATTGATTGCTACTTCGGCCATAGTTTATTTAAGGGTTGTACTTAGTTATGGTTATTATACTAGGGATGGTTATCACTTGTCAGCTTATCAATAATATGTCAAGTTATCAGGCATGTGGAACATTCAATTTTTTCTTGCCTTTACTTTACCCAACAAACATTGCAAACTTAAAATGCAAAGTTGATGGTGAGCCCAAAAAACGGGCAGGGATGTCCAGTGATGAAGATGCTCTAATGCATTATATCACAAACTTTGCTTAATATAATGTAATGTTTGACAAAATTTCCTAACTTTGGAGTTTGATACTTTTATCACACTGACATTACAGTCGAGTATTTTATTTGCATGCATAAGGAAACACCAAATCTCAATAGAAGCTTCTTGACTTCTTGTTCTATCCACTTCATTAAAAAAATACAACTATCAACCTGTTGCAAATGCAGGGGATTAGTATAACCTAAAACTTCTGGTGTCCAGTCCAAAGTGATGCCTAAATTTTGGTTCCAGTCTGGTGCAACCGTGCAAACTTATATGAGCTGTTGGCTCAGATCCTCTCGTAGAAAAGTAGGGTAGCTTCTGCACCAAGAACTTCCTCTTCCGAAGCATTGTGTACCTCTGAATCTGAAATGCGAAACCATTGCAAAGGAGCATCAGTTTCACTAACGCCATCACCTTTTGCCATTTGAGTCGCCATTCCTCTATATACTGTGTAATGGCCACTCCCAGCTCTTCCGAAGTGTTCCACAACAGAAACAAGGCGATACAGAATATTTTTGGGAGGTGGTGGATCAAAAGTAGCCTATACAGAAAGAAATAAACTTGTTAATTTCTGGCTCAAAAAAACCCAGCAGCTTTAGCATGTAAGTTGCAACAATTTTCAGCTTCAGTATAACTCTATTCAAAGGTGGCATGGTCGCATAGAAATGATCCCAAGTCAAAGTAAATTTACTTAACGACAGGGAAATGGGGTTACTTAGTTCTCGTGTTTGACTTGGCCTCTGATGATGGTGGACATTAATACATTATGTCATTGAAGTAACAATATTTTTTCTGGAGAAAACGCATCATCAAAGTAATGCAATAAGACTAGTATCTAGATGAGGAAAATAAGAAGTAGGGCATCATAGTATTGCAATAAGACTTTTACCTAGACGAGGAAAATAAGAGGATTAGTTATAGTGTCATAAATCAAACAGATTAGGAAGATTAGGAGGTATGAATGTATGATGGATATAGATGAGAAGTTTATTTTGTTAGCTTTTTCCTTGGTCAAACTGTCTACCCACTAAAGCTGGGATTGAATGCTCTATTGGGGATTTGATAGCATTAAATACAATTGAGTACCCAAACCTATTCTATTTTTGTTCGATTTTACCATTCTATCAGAGTAATAAACAAATTTTTATTACTCGCATCATGAGTAGAATTGAAAATTTTCTATTTTACAGCAGAGTAAGATTAAACCTGAGACGTACATTTATTAACACATTGAACCTAAGACATACATTTACTAACAACTGGATTCAAAAATTCTACCAACACACAAGCATTCATATAGCACAAACAATCAGAAAGGTTGAGCTTCCCACCAAGTACAAACCTTTAAGAAAAGAGACCAACCTTAAAAGTAAGCATAGATATGGTACTGGAGCAGGTTTCAATCGGCGAAGAACATGGTTCCGAACGAAACTGTGATGCATTATCCTTGGCTATCACTGCAGCAGATTACTCATACTTTAGAATGCTTTCTAATTTAAGACGAGTGACAAGTAACAGCAGTTGCTTACTTAGTTCTGGATGACTGTCAGCACTTTTAGGATGAGAGATAGGTGCCAGATTTGACTGCTCCGCAAGACTTTTTGGCTTATTTATTTCTCGTTTTTGAACGCCAATCTCATACTTAACAAAAGGTGATAGATTCAGGATCATTGGGAAATAGATATGGCCCTGCATATGCCGATAAACAATCAAATTGAGACAAGCTAATGAAGCCTCTATGGATCAAAAGGCAAGGTAAGTAATATAGGAATATACCATGTTGTAGCAAAGAGAATATGAGAATTAGAAAAGGGACATGCATTAATACAAAGCAAGAGAATGGAAGAGGAATATATCATGAAACCAGAAAATCAACAGATATGAACCCAAAAATAGGAAATTATTGGTTTTTATTAAATAAAAAAATAATAATAAAAAACTCGACTCTCACACTTGTTTGAGTTTGCGGATCCTGCCTAAATCTTTATTCCAGATCTTTCACGAGTGCATTAAATCCCCAACCCTACTAGTGTTGCACCAAGATAATTTGGAATAAAGTGCCAGTGTCTATGACAGATAGTTAACCAAAACTCAAGTACCTGAATTTTAACAGGCTCCCCAAATGCATTCAATGAACTGCGTTGGAGATGAAGGCAAAGAATCTGTAGAACAAAGAAACTAGCTGAGTAGGAAAATAATGCAGACTTTCACATTCATAAAAAGATTGTGCTTTGTGTATAAGCAAGCATGTTGATAGCCTGGTGGCTTTAAAAAGCTACCTTCTAATTTTTAATCTTGGAACGTAACAACCATACATATAACCAACACAAGTTGAATCTCAAGTTTGATTCAAAACAATCAAGACATTTTTTTATAAAGCCATAGCATACAAATAGGGTTATTATAAGACTTTCAGTGATGCAAAGCTGAACAAACTTCTTTGATTTGACTCAAGTAACTTTTAGCCATCGGGGGAAGAAAAGGCAAAAAGGGAAGAGACATAAGAGTAAACCTACATAGAATCTAAGACACAAGAATGAATTAATAAATCCCATACACCTACATATTAATGAGAATTAACTAACAATTTATTTCTGTATATTGAGGACTCAACCAAAGGGGCACAAATAAAAAAAGAACTTTTTTTTTTTTGACGGGAAATAATAAAAAAGAACTTAACAAAGCAGCAGTACCAATCATAAAGACCTTAACCCAAAACCAAATGAGAAAGATCTTAACCAAAGCTATGCCAATCAAAACAACTGATAAAGTTAGGCTCAAATCAAATTTGAATGGTCAGCACAAAATGTTCACCCAGCGATATTGGAGACTAAAGTTACTCAATATTGTTAGATGTGAAAGATCTTTACCATCAGGTAAGCCAGGTTAGAGCCCAGGCAGAAGTAAAATACAGAAAAGTTCAAGATTATGTGAGCTTTGCAAATGCAAAATTATACAGATAAAGATCATTCACTCAGTTTAGAGAATGAGAATGCTTGGAACACAAAACTAGGGTAAACAAATTGCAGATTATCTCAAACAGTCACGTGATTTAACTGCTGCATATTATGAAAAAAAGAACGGCCATGATAAGATTTAAAAGTTATTATAAAGAAGATTCTCTAAAACAAAACTACAAAGGCCTACAAGATATTATATGTGTAACATGTTCATGGGAGGACAACTTTATGGTAATTTTGTTAGGTTGTTGCCTGACAATGCTTTAGTTGTGCTGCATTTGCATCACTCTTCAAAATGAGCTCTTATAGGGCCATTCATTCAGGATGCTTATATCTATCATGTCATTAGCACAAGAATTTGGAGCATTTCTCTTTCTATGGAGACTGCAGAAAATGATCGGCTCCTCAAGTATTCCAAAAGAGCCATGGTACTTAGAGCCTCAATGACAATTATCAGCCACTCACAAGCATGTCACTACAGAATCTGTTGGTTACAGATCATTCCACCAAAGGGCATTGGGAGAAAAGAAAAAGATGAGACATATATATGGCAAACCAAATCTATCGGGAAAAAATTTACTAAAAGGGCTTCTGAAAAAGTGCAGACATCAGTATCTTTGTCTTATGTGGTTGTGCATGTGTTTAAAGAGCTCCAATTGTCAGAAAATATGTTAATTTAGCATTTGTTACCAGGAAAAAAGGGGCAGAAAGAGCTTCACAATTTCATACCTCTGGACAATGAGTAATTCTGAGTTGTTTAAAAGCATGCGAAAAGTGATTTGACCAAGGAAGTCTCTGAAGTGATGACATATTCCTGCAGTTGCAAGAGTCTTTCTCGCTGGAGTCACTACAGAAATTCAATTTTCTGATCTCTTCCTGACCAAAAATAGAGAGGAAACAGAAAAAATAAAATATAAAGAAAACAGACTGGACTAGGGTGGACGAGAACGAGATTAGTATCATACCGGATAATGTAGAAAGGAAGACATAAAACTATGAGCACAATTTCAGTAAATACGGCAAATAAAGGTAAGTACCTGCCATCCTCCAACAGAGGATAAAAATTTTGCTGCAGCAATATGCCAACAGCGGCTGCAGAAATAGTTCTCAACATGTTCAGGAGCCAGGAACCTCTTCATGCAATCCTCTAGTGTAAATCTATCCAGCTAACATAGCATGCATGTTTGAGAAATATAAACAACCTCAGTCGCATCTAATATCAGCTCCAAGCCTCCAACCACATATGAAGAACTTGAGTTTCGAGCACAAATAGAAGATAATTAGGTAATGGAAGCATACTATGGAAGCACCAGAGTTGGAAACTGGGGGAGTGACAAGGTGTGAAAGAAATCAAAATCCATCATAATCTGCAAGAAAAAAGGAAGGTGATTCAATAAAGAGACCAACAATATCATCCGAGAGAAATAGGAATGAGTAACACACTGACACCCCACCTCGGAAGAACAGCTTTGGCAGGTCAGAAAACTGCCAAGTATCCCATTAAATGGGCCAAGATATTGCTGCCGCCACCTTTCTGGCTCCTTTATGTCCTTTATCCTCTCAGAAACAAGAATTCGACTAGTAGGGACATCCACATCAGCTAGGGAGCCATGGTTTGGCATATAAGACTCTGATAGTTCGTCTCTTAGACAGGATAGAAGATGAAGAAATGCTTCTGCTGCATCCTATTTGTAGATGCAACCGCCAGTTACACATGAGAAGCAGGGTCATTAGCTATTTTAAGTTATTTGAAAGTTCAAAAGAGAAGATGAGGCATTCTGCAAAAGAGATTATGTCCTGTAAAAACTTCAAGACAAAAAGAATTCCACCTGTTGATTTGACAGTTGGAATTGTGGGATATATTGCTGCATGGCAGACATCACATTGTGTGGGTTCAATGGTCTACTTTTCTCCTGAAATGTGCTCAACTCTGCCACAAGTGAAGCCTAATTAAAAGATGCATATGGAAAAGAAGAAAAATAGTTACAATTGCACCTTTGCCTCTCCCGGAAATAGAAAGAAGCCTCTTTAATCGGAAATTGATCAGTCTTAGCACACATTTATTTTAAACCAGTGGGAAAAAAACGAGTTGACAAGCTAGAAACATCATTTAAAAAGGACACATCATTGATCATTCATGTAAGAACTATGAAGTAGTGAAACCAGAGTCATTCATGGACAGCACAGAGTCATGAGAAAAAATTTAAATTCGCTGGAACTTTGCTTGTCATCAATTACACAGCCATCCCAACAACATGGAAGACATAAATAAGCAGACAGCAGTAACAGCAAAACAATATAATCAAATTAAGGATGAACAATGCCCAAGATTTTTTACCTTCTAATAAAGAAGCCAAAGATTCCAAAAGGGGCAAATCATTAGCCTGCTCCACAATAGACACCGCCTGCAAGTTCTGAACATCTTCTAAGAAACACCTAAAATGTGCACAACTAGCAAGTGCCTGAAGCAAAAATCAACCCAAAATTAGGCCAAACTATGATAGCAATGTTACACTATACAATTCACTTCCACCAATCGTCAACCTGTGCAAAATTTGACTCAATTTACCTGTAAAACCACATTGAGGAAACAATTGTTGCCCAAATTTCGCAACCCGGGTACGAAATACAACTTCTTAGGAGTGTTAGTTTTTGCTGACAACAAGGGAAAACTGTTGAAATACCCAATTCTACCATCTCTAACAGCCAAGAACAAACCAACAACACCCAAAACAGTGGCTGCTGATAATTGAGACCCATAAGCTGAAACCCAGTCAATATTTGACAACATTTGAAACCCACTTCTGAATTTCTTCAACAATGAATTTACATTAATTTCTCTTTTTATCTTCATTCGATTCCAACGAACCTACCTTCACATAATATAACCAGTTCTTATTTCTTAACTTAACAAACATCAAATATGTTGAATATATAGAATGAATTAATAGAAAGCTCAGATCTTTTGATATTTTTTATGAAATCAAATGAATTGTTTCAGAAAATATCATAGCAATTAAGATAAATTGATGAATTGATTTGTAAGAGGAGCATGAAAAGGTAAAACTTACCATTAACTTCATTTAATTAATAATCTAACGATCAGCGTATGAGAATGAAATCCATGAGTGTGACGAGCAATAACTTCCCCAGGAAATGATGAAAAACCTTAATTTGTCAATAAACCAGGGTTTATCTTACGAACCGCTGAACCAGCTATGTTATAGCTTAGTGGTGTCCTCCTAAGTCCTAAACTACGGAGTAATAATCTATTAGGTTAGTCCTGTACGATGCACGGCTTTAATAATAAAAAATTTATTTGTAAGTGTATAATATAAATATTTTAATCAAAGCATAGCAAATTATAATCCCTCTCATTAGATTATTTGAGTTTAAATGAAGGTCATGATGTTAAATATTCTTATTAACTTCATAGCTATAATAAAATTTTCAAAATCCTAGCGTTCATTTTTTATCCATCATAGAAATTTGGAAGAATTTATAAAGAGTGAAAAATCAAATCCAAACTCTACAATCGCTAATAAAATGTAGAAGATTTATTTTTTAAAAAAATTAAAAACCCTATTTAGGAGAAGAAAAAAAAAATGTGAAAGAGACCAATCGTCAATTATTTTTACACAATAGAAATAGAAATAGAAATCGTGTATGTAGTCAATATAATTATAAAAGCTTTTAAAAATATGTATAATATAATTCATCAATCATTTTCAAATATTAGCTATACCTTAAAAAAGTTTTTTTAAAATTTTTTTTTTAATTTAAAAAAAAAAAGAATGATATCAAAAATAGTTTTGGAAGGAAAATTAATTATAAGAAGCTGACACATAGATAGTGATGATGTCAGCGGTAATTACTTTAGTATTAGTTATAGATAGCATTAGGCCCATTCACTTCACGAATCCAAGGCTCGATTCGGGTGAGGTGGTTCTTCTTGCGTTGGTTTTTAACGGCTTTTCTCAGGGTTGATTCTGAGTTCAATGGTGGTATCTTCTTATATTCTTCTTCTCGTCACTTGTAGCTTTTACTAGGGGAGTCTACGCGCGCAATGCGCATGTTTATGGTTGAGTGTAATAGCTTGTCATGACACCCAAATCTTATTGGGTAGGCTTTTGAACGCATATACTAAGAAGTAATTTGTTGATAATCATATCCTTGCATAGGTACAAAAGTGTAACACTTGAAAATATATAAATAATTAAATACAATTAAATACTATTCACTTTTTAGCTGTAAGTTTTTTATGGTGTAAAATGGCTTTTGTTGTGAGTTATAAAATACAATTATATATCATCCGTCACTTTTAGTTGCAACACTTGAAAATATATACATTTTTCAAAAAAAAAAATTAATAATTGATCTTTATTTTTATTGACTTTTTTTTGTTGGGCAAAATAGTCATGTGAGATCTTATTAGATTCATTCCGATTTATATATATGTTTTTAATATTTAATCTTTAGATTATTTATATGTCTATAATTAGAGATACAAGATATTGAAATTATGTATTGACAAACATGAAAGTTAAAATGTTACAACTTAAAATTTAACAGAAAAACATTCAAAAGAAAATTGTCTAATTAGATGATTAGGTAATTAAATTCAGTGGTTTTGTGTGTGTGTGTGTTTGTTTGTTTTAAAGAAAATAGTAACAAAGTGGGTTATATCCAGACTATTCCCCCACCCTTTGAAGAGTATTATTTTCACGTTAAATAATTTTGCCATTAAATTCAACAATTTTCTCCTCCTCCTTCTCCTTTTCCTCTTCCTCTTCTTCATGTGGCTTAGCTTGGTAGGTGCTTTAATGGAGGGCTCATTCGCTTTAATGGAGGAGAGAAAGAGAGTAGGGAAGTAAAAGAGGAAGGAGAGAGAAAGGAGGGTTTAAAAGAGAGGAAAAGGTTGGAAGTTGGAAGGGAAGGAAGACTAAAGAAGCCTGGAAAAATAAATACGGAAGCATAAGAGCTAATATGACATAAAAGGGTATATGGGTAAATAAACATTTTTAGGGCTAAAAAAGTCATCACACTATTCATAAGAGTTCTTTTGTACTTTTTATAAAGTAGGGATAAAGGGTAAAAGAATATTGTCTTTGGGGCCTTGTTGGGCCGTTTTGCTCTTGTTATTGGGGGTTGCAAGGTTAAGTTCAACCTTGCTTGTGGTGTTGGTGGTCCTGTTGATTGTCTTTGATGGTAGTGCAGTCTTTTAGGGGATGGTTTTATTTGTGCAGGAGTACGGTTCTCCATAGTTTGTTTGCTTGTCTTGTTGTTGCTTGCTATTATTCCATTGTTAGGCAAAATCCGCTATTAAGTAAACTTTATATTGAAGAGAACCCGCATTGTCGTGTAAGGTTTCTCAAGGCAGTCATTAAAAAAATATGACTCTTTGGGCTGTGTTCCCAAAGTCATAGGAAGTAGTTGCGTTTTGCCATCCCTGGGAGTGGAATAGTGTCAATAGTTAGTTCTTCTACAACAAGGTGCAATCTTTTCAGTTGGTGTTGGTCTCAACAGATTTCCTTTCGAATTTGAGTCTCGAGTAGGCGATTCCTAGTCCACAAGGTTCGGTAAGTTTTTTTTGGTTTTAAAGGCTCTAAGGGTCTGTTCTCATTGACTGCTGAACTAAACTGAAATGAATTGAATCAAATATTTTATAAGAAAAGAAAATTGGGAGCTGAACTGAACTGAACTTCAACGTAAGAGAACAGACCCTAAGCCAATGGTGTTATGCAATGGCGGTCTTCATCACGACTCCATATTTTGGTCCTGAATTTGTTCTTTATTCAGAATATTATTGTTTTATGTCTCACAAAGAAACCCCGAAATTCATAAAGGAAGAGGTATGTAACATTGTAATTTCACCTTTAATCCCAGGCATTGACGCGTATGTTAGCAGATTAATTAGTCCTTTATCATCAAAATAAGATTCGATCAGTATAGTACTTTGTATTATAGATCATTAAAACGAATCTTATTGTACAAAGCCATTAGTTCATTATTAGCCTTCCGTTTATTATTGACTGGCTTTTAGTCCAACACTCCAACTCCACAAAAGTCCATTATATATCTTAGTCAAATTTCATTAATTTGAAAATCCTAATTAACATGTCAAATCAATTACGCAGAAACATTAGTATATAACACACCTATTAATGATTTTCAATATACTCGAATAAAATACTGAATTAATAAAAAAAAAAATTGTGTCATCTTGTATGATCAGCAAGAAAAGAGAAAAATCTGCTGACAAAGTGACGGATGATTTTTAATTTGAGGACTTTGTTCCATCCCTTGAGCAATTTCTTAAAAATTAAATAAAATTAATTATTTAAATTTTAATGCTAAAGAGGCAGACGTTTAGTCCTCATTCATAATAATAAAATATTTAGTTAAATATAAAATTTTTTTAAAAAAATTTTAAAAAAAATAAAGGTTTCAGACATCCAAGGAAGGAGAAAAGCAGCAATAGTCTCAACCCCGGCGAAAGGGGAAACTCTCAGGCGGCCACTGCGAATGTCTTGAGAAACAAGCCTTTTAATTTATCATCATCAACCTTTTTTTATTTTATTTTTATTTTTAGAGAAAAATATAGCAATACATACTAATTTAATTTGTAATTAAAAATTTACAGATAAAAGAATGATGAACTGGAGAAAGAGTGATGAAAGAAAAAGAGTTGAGTACGGCGTTAAATAGAGAGGTTTTTGATGAAGGTGATAGTTAGGGTTTTTAAGGATTGTGTGAGTCTGGATTTTAACGGTTGCGATTTGTTGTTGGTTTTTTTTAAGGCTTGCTGACTTTGGGCCAACTTTATTAGGTTATTTAGGATTGACTGGAGTGTGGCTTGTGGGGATCACTAGACCAGTCTATATGATCTACGTTTTTCTTTTCTTTTTCTTTTTCTTTTTCTTTTTAAGGGGCGTGTGGTTGGATCCTTTAAAATGTGTTGGGAGTGGAGTTAAAATTCGTTCAACTTATTCTTACAAAAAAAAAAAAAAAAAAAAAAAACGTTCAATTTACTTTATTTTTTGGCTAGGCCGTTTGTAATTTTGGGAACTAGAGTGTATCCGAACTACCGCACGGTATACATGTAAAATATATATATTTAGAAAGATAAAATAATACTCCATCTGTCCTCAATTGATAGTTACTTTTGAAGAAAAATTACGGGAATTAAGGAGAATTAAAGAAAGTACATTAAAAAAAAATAAATTTACATTGGGTATGCAAAAAAGTAGAGAAAGAAAATAATTAAAGTACATGATAAATTAAAATTTACATGGGAAAGTTAAATTTGCACAAATATTTTTGCAAATGTTAGAGAATTTTGGTAAAAAAATATTATTAATGGTACTTGAAAAAAGCAAATGTGACTAACATTTTGAGTCACCAAAAATGGAAAAGGTGACTATCAATCGGGGACGGAGGGAGTACTTCGTAAGAAAGAAGGAAGATTATTATTTTTTTTTAAAAGATGGAAGTTACTTAGTGGGAGATTATTAAAAAAAAAAAAAAAACTACACTCATGAGAGTGGAGGATTGAGGTTTAAGAGAAACCTCATTAATTGACTTTGTAATTATAATATAGATAGATAGAACCGTAAGGGTTTTAACTCCGCCCTATCTCCTTAAAATCTCATACAACCCACTCCTTGAGTTTTAGGGGTGACCAAAAATTTAGGGTACTTTAACCCGGAATCGGAACCTGCTTGAAATCATACAAGTTTCGGTTCTTGGTAATAAAATTTTGGACCTGGAACATGTAGGGTACCCTGCTAGTATAGGTTCCTTATAGAGTACATGAAACTGAGACCTATCATTTAAGCACAAGTATAAAAGCCCTATAATTATATGAAAGTCATCACCTACCTCTATCCCTCCTCTTATTCGTTTTTCATATTACTCTTAAAGGTTAGAGTATATTAATGGTATTAATATAAGTAATTGTGATTTTGTATTGAATAGTTTAGACAATCAAGTAACTATAAAAGCTTACTTTGAAAGACAGGGAACCCTATGCAGGTTCCGGTTCCCAATTTTTAGGTTCAGATTCCGAGTCCTACTTTTAGGAACTTATTGCAACAGGTTTCGCTTTCGGGTCTTGAAATGTTTGCAGGGTATCCTACTACGCTCACCCCTACTAAGTTTCACATCTAATTCCTTTGATTAAATGTAAAAATTATTCACAACATAAAAACCAGATG